TAAAAGGAAAAATACTAAACTGAAAGTAACTTGACTTTCGCTATCACTGGGAAATACTATTTTACAAAACGGAGCAAGTTGGCTTCTCTGGATGCGGTAGATAGCTCGCCTCACGCGTTTAAAAATTTCTCAAAGTATTCGTAGTACATAAATAACAGTTTTTACGTACTTTTCGTTTTTAACATAGTCAATGCAGAATAATTACGGCGAACGAGCTCAGCTCGTCAGCGCACATTGGGGAAAAATTTCACTACCCGAGTAGTGCTCGTTACTAAACATTACGGTAGAAATCTTGCTCCCGAGCGGAACTCGTTTGCGCGCATTATGAGGCACGATTCGATTGCGAGCTGAACTCGTTCATAACCGTCAATGGTTAATAGAAAAATGCGCTGATAGCAAAACCTTTTCATATCTACAGAGATGACAACTTGCTGCGGACAGTAAATATATATTTTAAAGTGGTAGTTTATCAATTGTTAATTCTTGGTTTAATAAATTCAATTCAGTAGATTTTTATCCACCACTATTTCTAAGTAATTCGTAGGCTTATGTAATTCACCACTTTATAGTACTTACGTCATGCTATACCTTTTAAAAAGCAAGCAAAACTAGTCGAATATTTGCAAAATTTACTTGTAGTTATTCGCCGTTTCTTTAATTTTTTGTCTTGTCCAGAGCAGTTGGCATCTCCCTACCTGCCAACTTTTAATCCCTTCCATTATGATTTTTCCCAGTGGCATGGAAAAGGAATTAAAATTTCAATTTTAAGCAAAAAAATGCGTTGTATTTGAAAAAGCTTAAGCTGATGACCATGCTAATACATACCTCCAACTTATGAGGATTTTGAAAATAATTATTTCTAGTGGTAGCGAACCAAAGTAAAAGTTTTTAAAGCAAATGGATCTCTCATAAAACTTTTATCAGAACTTAAGAATCTGGCCTGCACTTTTATAAGTAATAGTGGACAAGTTAAGCTAATATTAATTTTTTTTTAATATTACGACATTAATTTTGCTACCGTCTGAAAAGAAGATTTCTGAAACTACGGAAATTCCGTAGCAGTTGGAGGGTATGCTAATACATATTAATATATATGCTTAGTTTTTTTAAGAGTAGTGGTGATCAAAATAATTTAAAAATTAAGTTTATAAAAGTAAAGAAAATATATACTTACTACCACTTTAAATATAGAAAAAAATTTTTACACCAAACGCGTAAAAGTTGGCAGGTATGCATCTCTGTATCTAGGTTGTTTTCGATAGGAACTAAGAAACCTTTCTGTTAAGACTTATTAAAATTTATATCCTACATAAGAGACTCGTTCCTTTTTTGAACAGAGGCACTTCTGAGCTGAACTTGTTAAGCTAGCTAGACACCTGGGCCGCGAAGCCTCCCCTATCCCATCCATTGTAAATTATTTAGCATTGTGTGAGTTCTTTGAGGTCAGCAGGCAGTGTGGTAGCTATGAGGGGGATTCAAGCACCTTGCTTGAGTAAATAAAAATTATGAAAATAAAGCAAAGCAGCTTGCCTTAACACGTTCACGCTGGGATGATCCACCCGTGGGTCACGCTAGATTGTCTCATCTTGGCAGCGCACCGGAGTAAAAACTGGTAACAATAAATTTAATTTTTTAGTTTTTTTTCAGGAATAATAAAAATCCATAACTACCAATTGTTTTTAACGGATGCAATTTTTATATTGAATTACTTCTTCGCCATTATAAATTTCCTTACAATGAATTGTTATTGTTGAGAATAGATGAACTCCTCCCTAATATTATCTAATGTTAAAGTAGTTCTTCTGCCAGTATTTTATCTTTTTCTGTACCAGTATTTTCACTTTTCACGGCGTGAACGTGTTAAACTATGTGTGGCTGTAGAACTGGATGCAGGTTGATGGTCTACGAGGGGAAACGCTTGATAGATATTGATAGATTCTTTCAATATTGTTGTTGTTGAATCTGATGATATAGGTGGATCTGTGATTAAGAAATTTGTTGAAACTACTATTTATTTTGATAATTGTGATATGAGGCGCCGGATGTAAAGTGAGCGGCTATTGGTCTGAATTTTGTATCTTTTTTGTAGTTTTAGAAGTTGAATATTTGGTTGAAGTTAGCTGTATTGTATTTTACAGCCTTGTCAAAGAAATCTGCATTTAATTTGTGATTATAGGTGATAAGGGTGGGATCTTGAGGTCTTTATGAATATTTGTATTTCTGATGAGCCATCTGGCACAGGTGATTTTTCTCAGTATCTTGTTCTGACATTGGTTGAGCTTTTTCTTCAGGAATTCTGGTATGGTTGTCCAGGCAGGTGAAGCATAAGTGAGAATTGGTCTAATCATCGAAGTATATAGCAATTTTCCTAGTTTTAGTGATATATTCTGGTTGTAGATGAGTAGTTGGATTATTATTGTTGCTGAACAGAGGAACTTCCAAAGCTGCAAACTTTTTCGGCTTTGTGGGAAAATTTCTTCTAGTGGTACCTAAGATAATGCTTTCAGGTATTACTTGCCCAGTCACGGTTTGATGAAATGGGTGTTCATAAACTGGAATGATCAAAATTCTATACAATTCTTTAGAATGAACACAGATGTCCTAACTTCAACCCTTTGCGGACCCCTTGCAGTCAATTCGTACTGCCACCTAAAATATTGGACCGGGATAGCTTGGTTGGTGCGGTGTTGGGCCCATGTCCAAGAGGTCCTCTCTGGCCGAAGATTACAGTGTACAAAATGGTGACTGAAGCTCTAATTTTGTTGGGGTCACATAGCCCACCAGGTTCCTAGAATAAATCAATACTTCTGGGGAAGCCGTGGTAGCTCAGACGATTGATAAAGAGCCTTCTAATTAGGTGAACCGGGTGCGAATTCCAGCAATGACTGGTTGATACGAATTCCGCACCTAGCTCACACTGACCACAGTGCTAACGTAAAATATCATCAGTGGTAGACGAATCATGGGTTAGAGTCACCTTGTCATCAGGCTGACAGTAGAAGAATTTCGTGGTTTTCCTCTCCAAAAGTTTTTTTTAATTCACTAGTAATATATTGAGTTGTCCGGAAAGTTCATGCCGTAATTTATTTTTAAATAAAAATTGCATTTGCTCCTTATCATATTTCCCTTACTTGCAAATAGAAATTTAGTCATTCATATATCTGCCAACTCTTCTGATTTTCCGTAAGATTTTCTTTTCATGTTTAAAGTGGTAGAGAAACTTATGTCATTCCATGAATCTTTTTGATTTGTAATAACAATTATAAATGAGTTTGACTCCCACTAGATATGAATAATTACAACAAATAAATAAAAGCTTTTACGACAGCTAATGTCAATCTGATCGAATTATAAATATTTTTAGCGGTAGCAATTTCAACGGTAGTAAGATTTTTTTCAGTAATTATTTTACTACCATTTTAAAAATCTATACTAAGAAGGAGTCAAAGATGGCAGATATGCGATTCGGTGTCAGTGGAAGAGAGAGAAAAAATTTGCAACAAGCGCACTATTTCAAATACAAAAGAAATTATATATTTTTATGCAACAGCATAGCATCAAAACATGCTGAATTTTAAATTGTTCTGAGCTAGTGAAATTAAATATTGAGCCAAAATATTTTACTCACATCGGAATATGTTACTGAATGTTGGAGTAAGTGGTAGTTTTTAATATTTCGCAAAGATTTTGGACATTCACTGAAGAATATAATTTGTTGGATTTTAAAATTAGTCCGAGCACGGGGAATTAAGCAAAATATTTTGCTCACATCGGAATATTTTATTGAATATTCGGAGTAAGTTGTAAGTTTAAACATTCTCCGAATTTTTCGGACATTTGCTAAATTTGGCCTTTCACAGCGATATATAGTTTGTTCACCAGGAGTTGGCACTTGACTCCGCCTTCATCACGTGGTATCGGATGATACTATTTCGCTATTTTGGGGAGAAGGATGTGAACAAGGCTGCTATTTGGCGATCGTATGACAAAAATATTTATTTCGCAATCTTCATGTGCATATTTTGAACATGTGAATTTTATTTCACAAACTTGTTGATATTTCTCTTTTTTTATTGAATAGTTTGTTCTTCTTGAGATATTTTGCTGGGAAAAAGTTTTTAAACATGAATTAGCTAGAATAACGAAAGGTATAATAGCTGATGATAAAGCGAAGTAAGTGACTGAAAAAGAATTCACTGTTTGTGTTTGGCCATCACTTTCTACATCAGAAAGCCTCTAGACGGTTTCTTATAAGTAGTCTGGGCAGACTATTTAAAAAGTTTGAGCGCATGACACCAAATTCTATTTTAAAAGTGATTGAGAGGAATTTGTCATCTATATTTGAGAATTGAATCGGTAGTGGTAGACAAGTAAATAAGACAAACTAATCATATTCAAAAATTAAACAAATTTTTAGACATGTATTTACTACCACTTTCTTATTTTTACTCGATTTTCCATTAAAGGGCTCTTTCGTAACCTGGTTTGCTTTCATAGTGGTCTGATCGGACTACTAATAAAAAACCGTGTGGATGCTTTGCGCGCATTAGAGGTTATCTCGATTTCAAGTCGGGGAAATGTTTTTCCTCTAACTCCCCCTCGCAGAAATGAACTCTGTGTCCAAGGAGGTGGAGCCAAGTGCCAACTCCTGGTGAACGAACTATAGTAAGTTTAAATATTCTCCAAATTTTTCGGACATTTGCTAAATTTGGCCTTTCACAGCGATATACACGCTGTATTCAAAATGAAAGAAATTTCCTCTTTCACTTTTGCTAGTTTTGGAACTAAATATATGTCGCTTGAATTATTGCTATGGCCTGGTAATTAAAAAAAATAATATTTTTCCAAATTATTAGTCTTTACTATCTTCATAGTATGTTTTGTTAGGATCACCTTTCAATTATTTGCATAAACTTTCCTGTCTGCCTAATGAAAGACACCAAATCAATTTTATCCAAAGCTTTCCATAATGATAACTCAAAATATGATTTTTCTTATAGTCAAGCTGTTGCCAGCAGCTCCGTATCTGGAGTATTTACTTGCTTAATGCTTTTGAGTTGTTTCCCTGGTAAGTGTGTCTACTTATAATCTATCTTTTGTATTTTCTCCACAATGAAGTTAATTTGAATAAGTTTAGATTTAAGGATATGCAGGGATTTCCACGAGCAAGTAAAAGTTTGAAATTCAATTAAAAGCTCTTTATTATGTCTTTAATTATTCAATAGTAACTATCACTATGACTTCTTACATTTCATATTTATATTCAAAGCAAATACATTCTTTGCTTTTACTTTCAATCGTAAATTGGAAAAAAATATGCTATCTAAAGTTGCTAATTTTAACTTCTTTTAACACGTTCACGCCGGGGTGACCCACCGGTGGGTCACGCTAGATTGTCTCATCTTGGCAGCGCACCGGAGTAAAAACTGGTAACAATAAATTTCATTTTTTAGTTTTTTTCCAGCAATAATAGAAATCCATAACTACCAATTGTTTTTAACGGATGCAATTTTTATATTGAATTGCTTCTTCGCCGTGATAAATTTCCTTACAGTGAATTGTTATTGTTGAGAATAGATTAATTCCTCCCGAATATTATCTAATATTGAAATAGTTCTTCGACCAGTTTTTTCTCTTTTCCCGTACCAGTATTTTCACTTTTCCCGGCGTGAACGTGTTAATAAAATTTTGATTTTATTAGTCAGCACTTTTTGAATTTTTAGTGCCCATAGCAATCTTGTATATGCATATAATTACCTTTTCAGGTTTCAGTATAACCTTCAAGTTTTAATTTTTATTTGACTATTTAGTGTGATCGTAAATTTTATGATTTGACATTTTATTATTGTTTTTATAAATTTAATGTTCAATGACTTTGTTCACTACTACGTACAAACAGCTCAAACACATATATCAGACTGATTAATTGTGCAGTTTTCAAATGTGAGCAAATTGAAACAAATTAAGTTAATCTTAAATTTTTGTTTGGCTTCCACTTTAGATATTCTAGGAACCTGGGTTCTGTGAGATTTTCAGAAATTTATAAGGGCTTTAATTTTAAGACATTTATGTTTAGATTTTCAGGCAAATGTTTTGAAAACTTTCAATGAAAAACTAAACAATAATTTGCTGTCAATTAAAAAATATTCAGGATTAAGTAAAACTTTAAAGTAAACATATATATTTATGAACTAATAATTTAAACTTATCAGCCTTGGCTTCAAACTTGGTTCGTATGGTGCATTAAAAATTTAAAAAGTAGTTACAATTTTATTTTATATAAGTTGAACATTCACTATTATTTTTTTCACTTACAAAATAACGTAATTGAATTATGCGATTTTATGCACTTCAAATTATTGAAAATTTTTAATGACTACGAATGTACTGACATTGCATATTTTGACATAAATATTTTACCATTTTCTATAATTGTTATGCACCAGCGTAACCCTCTCAAAATATGACCATTGTTGATAATCTTAGAAGGTTTCCCACAGACCTTAAACCCTTAACGCAGTTTCTTTGAAAAAAAACGGCTAAAAAAAAACATTTTTTTATGTTAAAAAAACACACTTTAGAACAGCATACCTGCCAACTTTTAATCCTTTCGAGGATGACTTTCCGCAGTTGCAGTAGAATGGAATTTAAATTACAATTTTAGGCAGAAACATACACATTATTTCGATAAAAGCTTATGTAGTCTACCACCATACCCTCCAACTGCTACGGAATTTCCGTAGTTTCAGAAATCTTCTTTTCAGACGGTAGCAAAATTAATGTCTTAATATTTAAAAAAAATTAATTTTAGCGTAACTTGTCCACTATTACTTATAAAAGTGCAGGCCATATGGCTAGATTCTTAAGTTCTGATAAAAGTTTTATGAGAGATCCATTTGCTTTAAAAATTTCTACTTTGGTTCGCTACCACTAGAAAGAATTATTTTCAAAATCCTCATAAGTTGGAGGGTATGTCTACCACGATAGTATTGCATATTATTATATACGCTTAATTTATTTAAAAATACTGGTTGTTAAAAAGAATATAAATTAAGTTTATAAATGCGAAGAATATACAAAAAGCAAACATGCGTAAAAGTTGGCAGGTATGGAACAGTGTCTTTTCTTTTAGTGGACTTCTTTGATATACTGCGCTTTTGTTCCATGGAAAAAGGCTATATTCAGAGATGCCAACTGCTCCGGACACGCCAAAATAATTTTTAAAAAACTGTAAATAACTACAAAGTAAATTTTGAAACTATTTGACTATTTATGCTTGCTTTTTAAAAGGTACAGCATGACCTAAATACTATAAAGTGGGGAATTATATAAGCCTAAGAATTTTGAAATAGTGGTGGATAAAAATCTACTAAATTGAATTTATTGAACCAAGAATCACAATTGTTAAACTACCACTTTAAAATATATATTTGCTGTCAGGAGCAAGTTGGTATCTCTATATATTTAATTCTTGAATAAATAAGTGTCATAGCTTGCAATCCTATGTAAATGATAAATATCAATAAAACGATTTTTTTTCTTACCTCTCACATTGTTATTTGCAATTCTCGATTATATTAGAGTGTGAAAAATTATAGCAGCATAATATACAACGGCACTCGAATTATCTCGAGTGTGCAGTGCACAGTTTGACCTGTTTAGCTCGCTCGAATTAACTCGAGAGCACAAGTTAAGGGGTTAATTTTCAAAAGAGATTAAAATATATTTTAAAATATTATAATTTTAAAGTACAGTCCTTTTCAAAAATCTGAGCACACCCCTGGTTATCCAGAAATTTCAGAGGACACTGTATCATTCAAAATTAGATTTATTGGTCTCATTTTAAAAATAATAATTGTTAATGTAAAGGATTAAAAAAATAAGTATTTTATTTTTATTTATACATAATCATTGATGAAATTCGCGTTCATCAGGAAACCCATCCTTGGTTTTGATAAGAACTTTTCCTGATCAATTTTGCCAAAGTTCGATTATGTGACCCCAGCAACTTTGAAGAGCTCACCACAGGTCTTCTGTGTTGAATAGCATCTGCTCACGCACATCCTTGTCTAGTTCATCCCACAAAAAGTTCGATCAGATCTGGAGTCTGTGGTGGCTACTCCGATTGAAAACAAAAAATTAAAATTTAGAACTCTCTGGCATTGTGCTTTTGTCCATTTTTCAATTTTTTTGCAAGTGTACTTTTTTATCACAGTTCAAAAAATTGGATTCTTTACTGCAAACTCGCATTGTCAGCCGATCTTCTGTTTGTAAATTTCTTGAAAAACATGATTGTGCTCACACTTTTGAGAAAGACCGTAAATAAATACCTATTTCTTCTACAATCTTTCAGGTTCCTTGCTTAGTTTAGCTTTGTACGAAGTTCATATTAAAGAAGAAAACAAGTTCAAGAAATTTGTCTCAATTGTATCATCGTGTTCTTGTTTAAGTTACTTTTTAAGTTATATTTTGATATGTGCCTATCCTTTTAAGATTACGCAGCATTCAAACAAGTACGAATGGGTAAGTATGAAATTAAAATATTGTCTACATAAAGAGTTAATCAAATCTACAATGGTTAAATTCAAAGTCTTTTTGTTCTCTTTTTTCTATTTATCTACAATTTTTTTTTAAATGAGTGAGTTAATTTTTGTATCTTTTATCACGTTGAGCGTTGCGTCAGCCATCGGTGGCTGACACTTTCCATTTAGGACCCGTCAGAAACCAGTGGCTGACACTGAAATTACATTTAGACCGCGTCAACCACCGGTGGCTGACGCTAACCTTTCACATAGGCCGCGGAAAGCAGCTGGCTGGTAGCGTATAACATGATATAGAACTATAAAATTTACACTCTTTTAATGAATTGCAGAAAATGTATTCAAAATTTGCTTAATTATTGTGATTCTTGGTTTAATAAATTCAATTTAGTAGATTTTTATCCACCACTATTTTTGAACAATTCGTAGGCTTATATAATTCACCACTTTTGTCAAATATGTTACGATAAACCATCTAAAAAAATAGCAAATTTAGTTTGTAGTTATTTACAGTGGCCAGAAGGGCGAGTCATGTAAAATTAGCGTGGCGCTCAACGTGTTAACGGAACATCGCTGTTTGTATCCTAGATATAATATAAATAATGTAACATGCACAGATATATTTTCCTACGAAAAATAATGTGTAGAGATTTTCACAACTATTTAAATATATTAATATTTGATTGACTTTTATCACAACTTTTGAAAACATTTAAGGCCCTTAAATCCCTGTATATGTACGGGTTTGTGTACTCACTGCAAATTATGTCTTATAATGCCTAGACAAGACATATAGAAGAAGAGATAGCAAAAAGTTGATTATGGCAGATTAAAGAGGCATCCTGGTTTATGGTAGGCTTGAATCCTTCCATAACCCGGGATGCACAAAGTTGATAAAGGCAGATTAAAGAGGCATCCTGGTTTATGGTAGGCTTAAATCCTACCAAAACCCGGGATGCACAAAGTTGATAAAGGCAGATTAAAGAGGCATCCTGGGTTACGGTAGGCTTGAATCCTACCAAAGCCCGGGATGAGCAGTATCGAGCTAAGCCTACGCATTACATATGCTTCTTAACTTTTACATTTTATTTATTTCATAAATTTATAATTATTTTTATTTGTTCCAAATCCCGCTCTAATTCAATTAAATAAAATAAACTACGTCATTTTTATTTTATTTTATTTTATAAAAATTATTAATTCTAGCTATTAATAATTAATAGCTATTCTTTTCTTTTAACAATAAATGTAACCTATAACTTTTTATTCAATACAAACTTTATAGCTAGTTATAATTTAATGTCGTGACTAAATGAATATCGAAATCCATTTTTAATCGTACTTTCTTTAAGCTGCTTTATTTTTTTAACCACAGAAATGTTTTGGTTACATGGTTATATTAAATTCTAACGGTCTTTTGGTGATTGATGTGTAAGCCAGATTTTGATTTTAAAAATGTTGGAAGGCTTTGGATTTCCCTTTGCCCACTGAGGGCCAGAAGACCATGATCTTTGGCCAAAAGTCTAAAATTAAATTTTCAACAAAAATATGCGTAGGCAGTTTTAATATAGCCAAAATTAAGCATTCATAATCATTCCAAACATTATAGTTTACTTTTTGAACCGACGAGAGTACAATGTAATGAAAAATATGTTTACAAAGTTTTTTTTTAAATGCAACTTTTAAATTTTTATTTCAGAAATATGTATAGGAATTTCACCTTACTGTTACATTTTCATCAGAGTAATTAGTCTGAAATTATAGTACAATTTTTCAATTTGTTGGATTCGTTAATACTCTTGACAAACTTATAGTTTATATCTTATCATTTGACATTTTACAATGTTTGAATGACTTTCGAAACTTAGTTCCAAAAAGTTCCACGAGGTAATTAGCTAAACTTCTTTTTGCTATCTTCTTTGATGTTTCTTCTTTCGAAAAAACCTGCCCCATTTTGCCCATATAGCAAAGGTGGACTAAATATACCGAAAAACAAAAATTTTGTTTCTTTTTCATGTTTTTGCGCTTTTTTGTAATATTACTTCGGAATTATAATTTGCTTTTTATATCTAATGTAAAATTACGAAAATTATTATATTTTCATCGCTATATTTAATTATTTAAACGTACTTATTTTTTTTTTATTTTTGCTCGCCATATTTCAGCAGACATTTTGTTTTTAGGGTATTTTTAGTGTATTTTAAAATTTCAACTATGGATTCAATTTACCTGCACATAGAAACATTTAAATAAAAAAAAATAAAAAAACTTTGAAACAAATTTCAAGGAAATACTAATTTCGGCCACGAAACCTTGGATGTTGACCCACTGCGTGGCCTTGCAGTCCAACCGTTGAAAATGTGAAAAAGTATTTAAAAAAATAATATCGTTTGATCTGTCTAAAGTGAAAAGGTAGTGAAAAGTTACTACTGATAAAAATGTCTAGTGAAAAGGTACTACTGATGAAAATGTGAAGATGCTCATACTCGAGTTGTCAAATTTAAAGTTATGAAGAATAATTATTAGGAAAGTGTTTCCTTGTGATGGCACCATCAATGGAAGTTTTCCTTTTACTCAAATAGAGATGGAAAAAATTATAATAACTTTTTATTTTATTTGCAACTAAAGAGGACTGGTACATCCGACTATCGACATGGCTCAACAATTTTATGCAGGTTGCATATGTTCATGTAATAATAAATAAATAAAATAAGCATATGCGGGCATGTGTGCTTGTAATATGAATGGATTTTAAACACTTATTAAGTTGAAGAAAAGACAGCACAGACTATAGGCGGATTATCACAAATATATATTCAATATACATCCAAATACAACAAACAAACAAACAAATATATATATATATATATATATATATATATATATATATATATATATATATATATATATATATATATATATATATATATATATATATATATATATATATATATATATATATATATATATATATATATATATATATATATATATATATATATATATATATATATATATATATATATATATATATATATATATATATATATATATATATATATATATATATATATATATATATATATATATATATATATATATATATATATATATATATATATATATATATATATATATATATATATATATATATATATATATATATATATATATATATATATATATATATATATATATATATATATATATATATATATATATATATATATATATATATATATATATATATATATATATATATATATATATATATATATATATATATATATATATATATATATATATATATATATATATATATATATATATATATATATATATATATATATATATATATATATATATATATATATATATATATATATATATATATATATATATATATATATATATATATATATATATATATATATATATATATATATATATATATATATATATATATATATATATATATATATATATATATATATATATATATATATATATATATATATATATATATATATATATATATATATATATATATATATATATATATATATATATATATATATATATATATATATATATATATATATATATATATATATATATATATATATATATATATATATATATATATATATATATATATATATATATATATATATATATATATATATATATATATATATATATATATATATATATATATATATATATATNAGTAAAAATAAGAAAGTGGTAGCAAATATATGTCTAAAAATTTGTTTAATTTTTGAATATGATTAGTTTGTCTTATTTACTTGTCTACCACTACAGATTCAATTCTCAAATATGTATGACAAATTCCTCTCAGTCACTTTTAAAATAGAATTTGGTTTCAAGCGCTCAAACTGTTCATTTTTTAAATAGTCTGCGCAGACTACTTATAAGAAACCGTGTGGAATCTTTCTGATGTAGCAGGTGATGGCCAAACACAAACAGTGAATTCTTTTTCAGTCACTTACTTCGCTTTATCAGCTATTATACCTTTTGATATTCTAGCTAATTTATATTTAAAAACTTTTTCCCAGTAAAATATCTCAAAAAGAACAAACTATTCAATAAAAAGAGAGAAATATCAACAAGTTTATGAAATAAAATGCACATGTTAGAAATATGCACATGAAAATTGCGAAATACATATTTTTGTCATACGATCGCCAAATAGCAGCCCTCCCTGAAATAGCAAAATAGTATCATCCGATACCACGTGATGAAGGCGGAGCCAAGTGCCAACTCCTGGTGAACGAACTATAGTTATTTACCGTGACCAGAAGGGCGAGTCACGTAAAATTAGCTTGGCGCTCAACGTGTTAACGGAACATTGCTGTTTGTATCCTAGATATAATATAAATAATATAATGTGCACAGATATATTTTCCTACGAAAAGTAATGTGTAGAGATTTTCACAACTATTTAAATGTATTAATATTTGATTAACTTTTAGCACGGCTTTTGAAAACTTTTAAGGCCCTTAAATCCAACTTACAAGTACTGGTTTGTGTACTCACTGCAAATTATGGCTTATAACACCTAGACAAGACATATAGAAGAAGCGATAGCACAAAGTTATAAAGGCAGATTGAAGAGGCACTTTGGTTTATGGTAGGCTTGAATCCTACCAAAACCCGGAATGCACAAAGGTGATAAAGGCAGATTGAAGAGGCACCCTGATTTATGGTAGGCTTGAATCCTACCAAAACCCGGGAAGAGCGGTGATGACTAAACCCACGCTTTACATGTACTTCTTAACTTTTAAATTTTATTTATTTCATAAACTCATAATTATTTTTATTTGTTCTAAATCCCGTTCTAATTAAATTAAATAAAATCAACTATTTAATTTTTATTTTATTTTATAAAAAGCAAATATAAATATTTCTATTCTTTTCTTTTAACAATAAATGTAACGTATAACTTTTTATTCAATACAAACTGTATAACTAATTATAATTTAATGTCGTGACAAAATGGTTATCGAAATCTATTTTTAATCGTACTTTCTTTAAGCTGCTTTATTTTTTTAACCACAAAATGATTTGTTTATATGGTTATATTAAATTCTAACGGTCTTTTGGTGATTAATGTGTAAGCCAGATTTTTATTTTAAAAATGTTGGAGGGCTTTGGATTTCCCATGGCCCACTGAGGGCCAGAAGACCATGATCTTTGGCCAAAAGTCAAAAATTAAATTTCCAACTAAAATATGTGTAGGCAGTTTAAATATAGCCCAAATTAAGTATTCATAATCATTCCAAACATTATAATTTACGTTTTGGACCGACGAGAGTACAATGTAATGAAAAATATGTTTTAAAAACATTTTTAAGTGTAACTTTTAAATTTTTATTTCAGAAATATATATAGGAATTTCACCTTACTGTTACATTTTTATCAGAGTAATTAGTCTGAAATTATAGTACAATTTTTCAATTTGTTGGATTAGTAAATACTTTTGACAAACTTATAGTTTATATCTTATCATTTGACATTTTACAATGTTTGAATGACTTTCGAAACTTAGTTCCAAAAAGTTCCACAAGGTAATTAGCTAAACTTTTTTTTGTTGTCTTCTGTGATATTTCTTCTTTCGAAAAAACCTGCCCCATTTTTCCCGTATTGCAAATGTGGACTAAATATACCGAAAAACAAAAATTATGTTTTTTTTTATGTTTTCGCGTTATTTTGTAATATTACTTCGGAAATATAATTTGCTTTTCATATTTAATATGAAATTACGAAAATTATTATATTTTCATCGCTATATTTAATTATTTAAACGTACCATATTACTTTTTTTTATTTTTGCTCATCATATTTCAGCAGCCATTTTGTTTTTAGGGTATTTTTAGTGTATTTCAAGATTTCAACTATGAATTCAATTTACCTGCACATAAAAATCCCTAAGTAAGAAACCCCAAATTTTGAAACAAATTTTATCGAAATACTAATTTCGGCCACGAAACCTTGGATGCTGGTCCACTGTGTGGCCTTGCAGTTCAAACGTTGAAAATGTGAAAAAGTATTTAAAAAAATAATTTCGTTCGATCTGTCTTTCTAGTGAAAAGGTACTACTGATAAAAATGTGAAGATGCTCATACTAGAGCCGTCAAATTTAAAGTTATGAAGAATAATTAATAGGAAAGTGTTTCTTTGTGATGGCGCCATCAATGGAGTACTTCCTTTTACGGAAATATCGATGGAAAAAAATTATAATAACTTATCATTTTCATTGCAACTAAAGAGGGCTGGTACATCCCACTATCCATATGGCAACCTGCATATGTTATTACATGTACATATGCAGGTTGCATATGTACATGTAATAATAAATAAATAAAATAAACATATGCGGGCATGTGTGCTTGTAATATAATGGATTTTGAACACTTATCAAGTTGAAGAATGACAGCGCAAACTATAGACGGATTAACACAAATACATATCCAAGATTACGGTCTGTTAGCTACACGCTACAGACCACTTACCCGATCGAAGAGACAACTCAACCATGGAAGTTCACGTCCAATACATATTGGTTTTTAGTACTGTCGTATAATTTCTTATTTTGAAGGAAACCGTAATGATTCAAATATATCAAAGTATAAATATCCACCACAGAAATAAATTCATAATAAAATAATTTAGCTACTTTTCCCCCCTGAACATCACCATCCTGTTATCTGACCTAGAGTTACCATATAAAAACGATCGCTTGAAGTACATAATTTATTCTATGTAGTTTATAGAACTATGTGTTCTTCTAGGTGTTTGCAATACTAATAGGACACATGTCTGGAGCGCTATTGGCTTTAAGTAGTTGCATTATTTTCGTCATATCTCAAGCTATACTTTATTGGGATGTAAAAGGATCTAAAAAAACACTTCTAAATCGCCAGAGCCTAGCATTCTTTGTTTTACCAACATGCTTGTTAGGTAAGGAGACGAGGTTTGTTCATACAGTAATGTGCTGGTAGCATACATACAGGGATTGGTTAAAAATATGGAAACATTTCTATTCTACCTCTATGTAAAGATTTTTTCCTTTTTCCAGCACATGTTATGAAAGATTTCTCATGTCGAGTTGGCGCGATTTGAAAGATCGTGCTTGAAGCTTTCAGAAAGGGTGTCTTTTATGCCCATACAAAATTTGCATCGGCCAAAATGAGAATAGAAGTATAAAGCTTCCTTTCCTTTTCCGTACAACAACAATTACAAAAATACTCTATTATAAATATTGCAATCTTAAAGGAAGATTTAAAGGTTGCTGATATTAACAATAAAAGGAAGTTAATTACTTCCTCTCCTCATTTTGGTTGTTGCCCATTTTGCATAGGTAAAAATGACACATTTCTAAAAGCTAAAAACATGATCTTTCAAATTGTGCCAACAGTTTTGCCATNTATATTATATATATAAATTGAATTATATATATAGATATATTAAATTTTTTTTACTTCTAATAACAGAAATTTTGAAATTTTTGTTATTGTGATTGTATAATTTTTTTTACTGCATTTCCTTTGTTTTGAATTTTTTGCGGTATTTATATTAGATAGCTTTTTAATTATTGTGGTTAAGAGAGGCCTTTAAATTGCAACTCTCATTTTGGTCGATGCAAGCCTTGCATGGGTAAATAGGACACCATTTCTAAAAGCTTCATGCATGATCTGTCACATTGTGCTAACGGTTTGGTCATGTAAAACCTGCCAAAATATTTGCTGATAAAAGAATAGTGTTTCCTAGAATAAGTGTAGGAGTGCTTCTATATTTTTTCCATCACCTTTACATTTTAATGGGGTAAAGATTTCTAATATGAGACACTATTTTAAAATTACATACTTATACTTACTTAAAAAATCATTATTGTTTTATCAAATATACTTGTGACTGGTGTAAATCATTAAAAAATGGCCACTTTTTAAAAATTTAAATGCACTCAAGTCAGAAAAATTAGAATGGGTATTCAAGTATGAGATAGTCAAAGTAATATTAATTAACATAATAAATACATAAGCATAATAAATGAGTTAGCCACTATTGCTATAATTTTGAACTATAATTTTTTTCTAAGGCAATTCTATGTTAGAAAGGAATATTTAAAGCATGAAAAAGTATTGACTCTCGTTTGACGAAAAAATAATGAAATTCATTGAAAAACACTCATCAAAGGAAATTTTTTCAAACACTATACATGCTCACACCAATCAGCCAATAGAAAACTTTAGTTTTCTCACTGTCGTCTTTACACAATCATCGCATAAGTTATAGGTTATTTTTGGTCTAGTCTCTTTCAACTAAAACAGGGGCAAATTTCCTGTATTGTGCAAAATACGAAATTCTTTTAAGGATTTAAAGTGAACAATCACAAACCACAAAAAAAATAATAAAATAAAAATTCATAATAAAAAAGAAGTATTTTAATTTTAACAAAGTTATGCCAGGACTGAAGAATTCAAAGCTGTTTTCCGATTTCCTAATTTCAAATGCATTTTTTCTTGAAAAAATTGTTCACAGTTGACTAAGCTCGAAAGAAAAAACTTTTACCAATCGACTTAAAATTTTAACTATATATTTAAACTACATTCTTTTCTGGTATACGAAGATTTTCTTCTAATTTTTATAACCTATATATTTCTTATAAACAATTTTTTATTTGTTTTTTCAGAGAATTTTCCATTACAAAAAAAGTACCATTCTTTTCAAAATCAATATGTCAAAAAAAAACTTCGTATTGTGTAGTTCTTCGGTTGTATAATTATAAAAAAAAAATTGTTTCTTCAGATGTGTTTTGAAATTGAATAAAGTTATAAAGGACCACATCATTTAGGTGCTGGTGTTTAATTTTACCTTAATATTGTAAATAATGTACATATTTAGCCTAAAGAGTAGAATATTAATTGTTCATTTATTCAATTCTTTAGGGGTATCTGCACTTATTACAGTAGGCATAGAAGAACTCTGTAACAATGATGGCCGACATATGGAAGATATTAATTATCAATTGCCTACAAAGGTAAGTTTATGTAGTCTAACTTTATCTTCTACGATTCTGTGTATAGAGCGTGAATAAAACAGCTCATCCTGAATAACTTTTGATCTAATGATCGGATTTTCACGTTCTAGGACTCAATCTTAATGGCTCAAAGGGGGGACTTCAAACATGCTAATCAACTAATCCTGACGATATTTTAAAGTGCGAAATCAGGCACGAAAACGCACTTTCTCTCACTAAACATACCCTCTTTTCAATTGATTTAGGTTTCTTACCCGCAAAATATAGGGGATAGTCGCAATCTGGGAAATATAGTCCCCATAGTTTGGTCAGGAAAGCGATCCAAAGTTTGTACCCCTTCATGTTAATTTTACTTTTTGTGTATTTCGCCATATCTCGGAAAATTTTTAAGCAAATTGAAACTTTTTTGCACTAAATAATAAAATTTGTTTATCCAAAAATAATTTCAATCAAAAAATAGATGTAGTAAATATTTATTATTATTTTTTTTTATAAAATAATAGTCAAAAAGAATTTTAATTGTAAGGAATACAATTTTCACATCATCTTAAAGTATTTAATTTTACATGGCAGAGTACAAAATTAGAGCGGAATACAAATAGTTTCTGAAAAATAAAATTTTAATTATACCACATTTTTAAAATTCCATTTCTCAGGAACTATTTAACCTTCTTCGCCCAAATTTTGTATTTCGCCGTGTAAGTTAACATGCCTTAAAATGATGTAAAAAATTGTATACCTCAAAATTCAAAATGTTTTCGACCAATATTATTAAATAATAAAAAAATATTATAAATATTAACTAAATTTATAAAATAACTATTTTTTGCATGAAATTATCTTTGGATGAAAGAATTTTATAATTGTTTGGGAAAATTTTTCAATTCGCTTAAAAAATTTTCCAAATATGATGAAATACGCAAAAAATAAAATTAACGTTAAAGGGTCCAAAATTTTAGATCGCTGTCCTGAAAAAAGTATAAGGACCATATTTCCCTGATTGCAGTATCTTAAGGGGTCAGAAATTTGAATCCGTTGAAAAAAAGGCATTGCTTATTTAGAAAAAGTACGTTTTTGTGTCTGGTTTCGTAGCTTAAAATATCACGTGTTCTAATTAATTAGCATATTTAACGTCACCCTCTCGAACCATTAAGAATGAGACCTAGAACGTGCAGATCCGATCATTAGATCAAAAGTTATTCAGGGTGATTCATTTTTTTAGGGCTGTTTGACGAAGACTGCTGTTAACGCGTGAAGTGTTGTTTTTTGCTCATAATATGCTATTTTCATACTGTTGTGAGTTTGCTACAGTTACTCATTACTGTTAAATTAAGTTCAGCCTATCTTTAACCAGCGATCTCTATGTTTATTTTGAAAATGAATATGAAGAAAGGTTTAAGTTTTGAGAAAATGAAAAGCATTCGTGGTCCAATTTTTTAATATTTAAAATCTTTCTCCAATGCTCTATTATCTGGCTTCATAAATTTTTTTTAAGTGTTAATGAAACATTGATTTTGATAATTTTCATCTAGATTGAAAAATGTCACCAAATTGGAACTCTTAAAAATAGTATAGTAATTTTTAAAATATCTTACTTATCTTTCCGTTCTAAGGGCCAGATATATCTTCACGGCACGATGGCATTTATAGTTGAAAATTATAACTTTGCTTTAAGTGCAAGGCTCTTAAACAGTGGCTTTTTTTTTTATCTTCTTTGGTGAAAGAACTTTCAAAAACCATGTTAAAGCTATTTCTGGAGAAAACTACTTTAAAGAAGTAAAAAAGAATTCATTTCACTTTTTGGGAAAGTTCATAATTTTTATTGCTTCTGTTCTTTACAAGTACACTATTATAAAACTGCAATAAAATGCATGTTTGATATATTTTCTAAAGATCACTGCTTGAACTTGGTTTAAATGAAAGTGATTTTAGGGTTCATACGCACTTGAAAGAAATTAAAATCTGGTTTCCATTTTGTGATAAAGCTGAAAGTTTTTAATATAAGCTTCCACTATCGAATTTAAATTTCGTATCCTCCACCTTTGGATCTACATATACTTATACTTTGAGAAGATAAAATATGCTGGAAGAAGATGCATACGTAAAAATATTTAAAAAAAAAATTTTTATATTACTATAAAGATGCCAACTTGCTCCACTTGGTAAAAAGTATTTTTTAGTGCTAGCGAAATAAAAGTTATTTTTAGTTTAGTATTTTTCAATTTAAGTAATTTTCCGAAATTACATATAAAAAATTCAAAGTATCGGTTGAAATGATATTTTATTACAGTTATCTTAAGTCTTAAGGAGGCACTTTTGAAGAGTGGGCGTAATTATCTCTATTCTACAAGTTTTACTATTTTTTTCGCTACCAATTTATTAAAATTCTTGCCGAAAGCACGCATTCCTGTTACTTCCATTTTGTTTCGCTGCGTATGAACTCTGTTATTAGGTTTAGAAAATGAATTATTTATAATTGTTTCGTAAACAAAACCAAATATTCTCATATAGTCCCACAGTGAACTGACCGTAAGTCACTGTTCCCAGTAGAATGTCGAAGTAATGCATCACTTGCTGCGGTCCTTGTGAGGGTGGGTGACTACTTTGANTGACGAATTATAAAATAAAATATGTTTCCAAACTGTGTAACTATTTTAAGAATGGAAAAAACGAATAAGTTTTTTAAAAAAATTATATCATTTTTGAAGTAATTATCACCGCTTCTCATTTTTAAGAAGGAAGTGGAATGAAAAGAAACGAACGATTTAATATACAGAGGAAATAAAACTATGATGTTAACAACTTCAGAAAAATTTAAAACTCTTTCATTATTAGTTTAGATATTCGTGGGATTTTCAAAAAAAAAAATTTCTAAAAAATAAATAAATAAACGAAATGAAGGATAATTGTCTAGAAAGCATTTATCTTCCAAAAATTACGTCATTAGGGTTGAACTCTTATGTCACATACTTTTGTTTCTTTAGTCAAGAAATAATACACTAATACATTCTTGTAGGTACTGTATCTCGAGAAAAGAAACAAAGTATATTTTTACAGATTTAACCAAGCGTTAGGTATTTATTTTTAAAAAATCTGTAAATATGTTAGAAACTGTAAGAAAATATTGGAAAAGGTGGAAGACAAGTAAGCAAAAGAGCAAAAACTATTTTTTTCCATAATTGTTCGTTTGCTGTAAATTCAGAAAAGTCGCATTAAACATTGAATGAAAAATCAAAAAAATAAACAAAAGCTAGTAATCGATTTGAGAAATACATTAGCTTAATTTTTTTCTACATTTCAATGTACTTATGCAAAAAAAATAATTAAAGATAAAAAAAGACTTAGTTAATTTAACAAAAGACGATGTTAGAAGAAGAATTTTTCTTTTTAATATCTATATTTCTGAATTCTGATGTTTGTTTTATTTTCTTTACAATATTACGAATTTTAGATTAAATGCTTATTGCTAAATTACATTAATTGACATGACTTAACTTTAATGTTTACCGACATTATTGGATTTAGAATTATAACTTTAAAACTGAGTATAATCTATCAGTTTTATTACCTTATTTATGACCGTAATAAATTAAAAAGTAAAAATAAGTTTTTAATTGGGTAGAAGGAAATAATTGCTAAGATTCTCCCGCTTCCTTGTGCAAAAAGAAAGTGAAATAGAAACATCAATATAATCAAATTCAGCAGTGTGAAGTAGAGCATATGAATCATACATTTGGATGCAATATTTAACAGCTGTATGATAAAGAAACATCGGTCAAAAGGTTGGAATTTTTTTTCTTCTCGTAAGCATTTTATTGACTTTTAGTTCATTTCGAAAATTGCATAAATAAGTCTACTGCTGATACAGTATTCATAATATTCCCATGTGTGAGTGGATATGGTTAAAATATGTTTATGGTAATAGTATGAGTAATATGATAATAATATGGTAAAAGAGTGTGGTTGCGGTAGTAATATGAATATGGTAATAGAGTATGGTTATGGTAATCGTATGAGTAACATGATATTGATATTGCTATAGAGTAGGTTATTATAATAGTTTGAGTAGTATAATAGAGTATGGTTATGGTAATAGTACAAGTAGTATGATAATAGTATAGTTATAAAGAAAAGTAATAGTAATAGTTTGAGTAATAAGATAATAGTTTATTAATAAAGTATGGTTATGGCAATAATATGAGTATTATGGTAATGGTAATTGCATGAGCATGGTTATGGTAATTGCATGAGTAGTAAGGTTATAGAGTATGAGTAGTATGATAATAATTTGAGTTGTTTGGTGATAGTATGGTAATAGAGTATGATTATGGTAATAGTATGAGGTGCGCGTAATGATGTAAATAGATAGAAATGTCTATGCTGTCCATGCATGAAAACTATCTAAACTGGCTGTTTCATTATGATTTTGGTTGTCAATAAAACATGTCTCTTACGCACCTAGAAAAAATTAATAACTGGTATCAAATTTGCTTTAAAGAAAATGAACTTCTTAATATTAGCTTCCACTATCGAATTTAAATTTCATATCCTCCACCTTTGGATCTACATTTACTTAGAGAAGATAATATATGCTGGTAGATACATACATAAAAAAAATTTTTAAAAAATCTATTTTTATATTACTATAAAGATGCCAACTTGCTGCTCTAGGTAAAAAGTATTTTTTAGTGCAAGCGAAATAAAAGTTATTTTTATGTTATTATTTTTTAGTTTAAGTAATTTAACCACTACATATCAAAAATCCAAAGTATCACTTGAAATGGTATTTTATTACAATTATCTTAAGGAGACACTTTTCAAGAGTGGGCGCAATTATCTCTATTCTACAAGTTTTACTATTTTTTTTCGTTACCAATTTATTAAAGTTTTTGCCGAAAGCACGCATCCCTGTTACTTCCATTTTGTTTCGCTGCGTATGAACTCTGTTATTAGGTTTAGAAAACGAATTTTTTTATAATTGTTTCATAAACAAAACCAAATATTCCCATATAGTGCCACAGTAAACTGATCGTAAGTCACAGTTCCCAGTAGAACATCGAAGTAAAGCATCACTTGCTGCGGTCCTTGTGAGGGTGGGTGACTACTTTGATCAGGCTATGAAAGGACTGAGGGTGTGTGGTATTGGTCTTCATTTAACTACTATTCCACTGTAAAGAGCTCGACATCGTGTGAAGGTCTTCGGCCTACCAAAGCAGAAAAGCGATCCCCTCTGTAGAGGATCAAAATTGTGATGGCATGAGTTCAGATCATCCTCAGGGATGTTTTCCAAACCGTTGTCAATAGTCCATTGTCCCATCCCAAATATTTAATTTTAAATTTTTCAATTTTAAATAATTATATTAATAATAGATTAATTATTTTTTGTAAAATAATAAATCTAAACAATAAACAACAAAATTAACATATAACAAAACAAAACAAATTAACATAACCAAAATTAACATAAAATGTGAAAAATAATAGAAAATATAAAGAGTAATATTTTGTATTATTTTTCACATTTTCATAAAGAGAAAAAAATTGTTTGAAAAGAAGAGAAGAAAAAATGCTCCTGATAACAATGTAAATCAATTACATTTTAGGGATCATAAATATCAGGCATATGCTGAAATTCAGCGCTGCATATTATTGTTTAATAAAAAATAATAAATGGTGTTACACAATCGATTTTAATTTTAAATAATTCGTGTTTTGAACATTTGTTTGTTTTTATTTAAGTTCAGCCCTGTGTATATAATAACGCATGTTATAGAAACAAAACCATATTTTTAGAAAAAAATTTAAATTCAAAATTTTTAAATTTTAATAATTCCATTTTCAATATATTTGTATTTTTTTGTAAAATAATAAATCAAATTAATAAATAATGGAATAATAGATAATTTGTAAATAATATGTTTGTTATTATGTTTTTTGCAATTTTATAAAATTTTATATAAATAAACAGCGACGTTTAAAAAGATGAGAAGAAAAATTTTTCCTGATAACGATTCAAATCATTTACAATTTACCGTTCATAAATACCAGGCATATACTGAAATTTAGCACTGCATATTATTTTTTATATAGACAAAATATTAAATGTGTTTCTTAACGATTTTAAATTTTAATTAATTCGTGTTTTGAATATTTGTTTGTTTTTGTTTCAGTTCAGCACTGCGTATGTAATAACCACTGTTTGTGAATGGATATTGTTAATATGTATGTGGTGTTCTCTAGTGTTGCTGTATGAAGAAATGAATGAAAAGGACATTAGTATTCTAGTCAAAAGTAAATCTAATGTTAAAAGAAAAACGCTTGTTAAATAAGTAGTCTATAAGTAAATTTTGTTTAAGATTTTATATTGTAAAAATTTTAATTGTTTAAGCCTTTTAATAAAATGTAAATATTAGTTTGCAGTAATATTCATTTAACAATTAACATCTGAAAAACTTGTTTCTTAGGTATTAGACAACATTATAAACTTTAAAATATAATCTATACATACATCGAAGAGCCATTATATTATGACCACCCTGCTAATACCATGTAGGCCTACCTTCAGCCCTCAAAACTGCTAGCACCCGCCGTGGCATAGATTCCACAATGAGCTGATAGGTAGTCTGAGGTATCTGGTACCAAGCACTCACCAACTGGTCCTGCAATTTCCTCACATTGCGAGGGGGTAGCGTGGCAGCACGAATTTGGTTTTCCAAGTAGGACCACAAATGCTCTAATGGATTAAAGTCAGGTGAATTTGGGGGCCAAGACATGACTTGAAAGTCACTGGAATGTTCTTCGAAGCAATCCATGATGATTCGACCCTTCTGACATGGTGCATTATCCTGTTGGTAAACACCATCCCCCGCAGGAAAAACTGTTGACATGAATGGGTGAACCTGGTCTGCAACTATGTTCAAGTAGCTTACAGACGNACTATTCTGGACACACAATTCTGGAGAACACTCCACTCACAATGATAGTTGCAGTCAAAACAAGATCAAAAGACTGCTTTTTCACTTTCAGGAATGACAATTTTAAAAGGTCAAAGTATTTAAACACGAAGCTAGCTGTGATAGCATATATATTGCACATTAATTTTATATATATATATATATATAGAGAGAGAGAGAGAGAGTGAGAGAGAGTTGCCAAAGACTCCGGATTCGACAAAATATTTTTAAAAAAACGTTAGAGAAGTGCAAGATAATATTTGTAGACTTCCTGTTAATTTGGCTAACTTTAGAGGATGCTCAGCACGTCAAAACCGAATCAAAGTGGTATCACACAAGCCTTTGAATTATTTAGAAATAGTGGTGAGTCAAAGCCATTTAAATCGAATGTACTAAACCAAGATTCATACACTTCCATTCGAAGATAATTATTTTCTGACCGGAGCAAGTTGGCATGTTTGGATATGCAAACTTTTTACGCTTTTTTGAAAAATTTCTTCTAGTTATAACTAAGTTTGTATTTTAATGTAATATACTTTGTTTTGTGAATTTGAATTAAATTACTTTACACCACTAAGTGTAAATGAGTCAAAAGGAAACGCTACTTTTTTTCAAGTTTTCTTATATGCCTAAATAGTATCGTATTAGCAATTGCAAAATCAGAACAGCATACCTGCCAACTTTTAATTTTCTCGAGACTGATTTTTCCCAATAAGTAGTTAGGTTAAAATTGAACAACAATCGTAGGCAGAAATATATTTTTTAGTTTGTAAGAGCTAAAACACATCTTAATATGATCATTATCTTTTTTTGTATATATATGTTTAATTTATTTATATGCAATGGTGGTTAAAATCATTTTAAATTTAATTTATAAATCGAAGAGATAAATAGATTTTAAGGTGTAAATTTTACTACCACTTTGAGTATAGAAACAAAATTTTGTGAAGCTATATAACAGGAAAAACTAAATTAAATTTCAGAAACAAGAGTGGAAACAGGAATTTTTATTTCAGAATACAAATAAGTTTTTGGTTTTGAAATTAAAATATTTCTGAGTTATAAGTAATAGTTAATTGATTTTCATCGAAAAATTTCTTTTTGTGACATACTAAATATAACATAATTTCAGTTTTAAGATTAATTTATTTTGAAGCATAAATGAAGAATGTTTAATTTTGTTTCAAAAATAAAATTTTTCTGAAACATACAATCAATATAATTTCTAATGAAAAACTGGCGATTTTCTGAAACATAAAGAAAACATAATTTCTTTTTGTTTTAATTTGAATTATTATGAAGCATTACTCTGACATATTAATGTTTCAGTGTAATTTTAATTTCATTCTGAAATATTCAGTTTTATTTTAAAACTGAAATATTTTGGAAACATAAATGAGAGAAATTGAATTTCATTTAAAAATTAATATTCTTTTGTAACATGAATGGAACATAATTTCTGTTATAAAATGAAATTATTCTGAAGTATAAAGGGAGAATATTGAATTTTGTTTCAAAGTTATCATTTTTCTGAAACATATTATGAACATAATTTCTAATTTAAAACTGGCCTTTTTCTGAAACATAAAGGGAACATAATTTCGTTTTGTTTCAATTCAAATTATTCTGAAACATTTCTCTGAAATGTTAATGTTTCAGTTTAATTTTAATTTCATTCTGAAATAATAATTTTTTTAAACTGAAATATTTTTCGGAAACATAAATGAGAAATATTGAATTTCATTTAAAAATTAAATTTGTTTTACAGCATGAATGCTACATAATTTCTGTTTTAGCATTAAATTTCTCTGAAGTATAAATGGGGAATATTAAATTTCGCTTTAAAATTAGCATTTCTCTAAAACATATAATGAACATAATTTCTAATTAAAAATTGGTGATTTTCTGAAACATAAAAGGAACATAGTTTCTTTTCGTTTCAATTCACATTATTCCGGAACATTATTCTGAAATATTAATGTTTCAGAATAATTTTAATCTCAATCTGAAATATTAAGTTTTATTTTAAAATTGAAATATTTTGGAAAAATAAATGGGACATAAATCTTAAAATAAAAATATTTCAGTAACATGAATAAAACATAAATTGAATTTTAAAATTAAAATATTTCTGAAGTATAAATGGGTTGTAATAAACTCAATTTCAAAATTGATTTATTTCTAAAACATTGATGAGATAAAATATGTTGTAAAGAGAACTTCATAGGTTTATAATTAAAAAACAACACATATCAAAAATGATTTATTCAAAATATTTAATAACTTAAACAATACCATTTCATTTACACAAGCACAACATATGTACAAAGGCAAAATAGTATCAAAATGTAATATATATGAAACAGTGACATTTTTAGCAAATTTTTAGCAATTTTTTATCAAATTTTTTACCAAATATTTCATGTTTACTACATACAAGGAAAATAATATTTAAAAAATTGCGTAGGAAATTTTAATTTATTCAAGTGACTTAGAAGCATGATAAAATAAAAAGATAAGTTTTATATATCAGAATAGCAACAGAAGACTTATCTCAATGAAGAATATGATTAATTTCAAAAAGCAAAAACAAAATTTTTTCTTTATTTACATTGTAATACCTATCTCCAAGCATGTACATTATTTACATAAACAAACGATATTTAACATTGTATTAATGCTTATTACATTTTCAAGCAAAGAACGTATTCAACTCTATGAAGCGTAATTACTTAACAAAACTATAACTGCAGTAATACGCAAAATATGAGCTAAAAAATTGTAGTTATTCAATAGCTGCAACAAAAAGAAGAGTGTAAAAAATGATAGTTCAAATTATATTACAGTTCAGGTAAATGCAAATTAAAATCTTTTAATTATTCAATCATATTAGTTTCTGACCAGCAGACTTTCAAAAAAGTTCCTTTTTAATCCCTGCACTTTTTAAAAAAAAATACCATGCAATAAATTAATAAATAAGTTTGTTTTTTAAACTGTTGTCGCATAATCAGCATTTAATCAGCTTTAATTTTGTTATAATCAACAGTTAATAAAACTCAGATGCATTGTAAGCTAAGAACTGTTTATACCAGTTTCGACTTTTAAAAAGAGAAAAAAATACTGTTATGTTATAACTTTTATCAGCGTCCTACCAAAAATTAAGAAAGTGGTTGTCAATATGTGCTTAAAAATGAAAAATATTTAAATTTTAGTATATGCTCTATTTAAACATTTATTCACAGACTCTGCTTCAAAAGCACAACTTTCATATTTCCAAAAAAAAGTTAAATAAGCAAAATAAGCGAAAGTAATTTCCTTATTACTATTTATTTGAAAGAATCGAGGCATTAGTATCCGTTATATAACAAAAACATTTATATTTGTACAGAGCACCTGTGACTTAAATAAAATTGGTGGTGTACAAAATAGTAAATAACCATTAAAGTCTGAGGAAAATAAGCTACTGTTTTCGTCATGTCACTGTGCTTGTATCTTGGAATAAAGTTAAATAAATCGGCAAATAAAGGGTAAATCAAAATATCATACTTCATGTAAATATTTATTAAAATTATCGTAGTTTCCAACCACATATTTTAAAAGAACGCTGCCGCCATTACATAAAACTATACTTCATATGCTTAAATTTCTTCATTAAACTTATACAAATGTTTTGCTAACAGTAATTATTTTATTTTAATACTTTAACTAGTTTATTGTTTATTAAATAATAAAATAATGTTATTAATTAAATAAAACATAGTTAAATAATAAATTAACAATATATTAAATAATATAATAGTTAATTTATGATCGTACACATTCTAATCCTCGTTATAATTGGAAGTTATTATTCTAAATAAGGAAAATATTATGATAGCTTCAAACTTTCAAATCATAAATAATCACAAAAATATTAAAAGAAAAAATTGCAGTATCAAAAAGAAAATAATACGATAAGCACTCAATAGAATTCTTATAATGTTATACAAGACATTTGTTAAGAAATAATCGTTCAAAAAGAACCAGAGACATGAATGTGCAAGTTTCAAAGAAAAAATTAAGACATTGTTTATCTTTATAAATTGTTTAAAAAGTATTGCTTAAGCTGATAAGAAAAGATTAAGAAGACATTGTTTATCTTTATAAATTGTTTAAAAAGTATTGCTGAAACTGGTAAGAAAAAATTAAGAAGACATTGTTTATCTTTATAAATTGTTTGAAAAGTATTGCTTAAACTGGTAAGAAAAAATTAAGAAGACATTGTTTATCTTTATAAATTGTTTAAAAAGTATTGCTTAAGCTGATAAGAAAAGATTAAGAAGACATTGTTTATCTTTATAAATTGTTTAAAAAGTATTGCTTAAGCTGATATTGTACCACCGATATTTAAAAGTAATCTTTTCATACTCCCAGAAGTTTTTAAGTGATAGCCAATACATTTATCTAAGAGAACCAGGATAATTGTAGCCATATCTATGATGTGCGTGCTAAAACGAGAAAATATCTACGCACTTAATCAAGAGGTTTACATTTTTACCTTTATAGTAGCCCTTTGCTTTCTTTTATAGGACAGGCTATTGTTTCGAAAAGGTAAATTTTGATAACTCAATTATTCCAATGCTAAAATTTATTTAGAAAAAGCGAAATAGTTGGGCTCAATCAAAATATATTATTTTTAAAAAAAAACTTTCTTTTTAATCTGAGTTAATTAAAAAAAATTGTGCCAATCTAAATTTACGCTAACAAATTTTGCAGTTGACAGAAGGAAAAACTTATGTAAAGGAAATTTTAAAGCATTGCAGCTTTTCACATATATTTGGAGTTAAAATCGAAAAGTTAAGGATCTTTCTCCTATACCGGGGTAGTTTGACTATAGAAAGAACTCCCCTCGCCACTCAGTTAAGGCCATCTGCTGCTATGGAAACTAGAAATAGCGCATTTAAGAGAGAAGCTTCTCTCTTTCCCCTGATTCCTATTTTATCGTCTACCCAAGCCAAAATCTGTCTTAAATATACACCACAGATGCTTTAAATAGCTAAACCTCGCAACCATAGTCACCGACACTGCTCTAATCGAATGGCGAGGGGTGTTCTTTGCATAGACAGACTATAGCTCTGTATTTTGATTTTCAACTTATAAAGATTATGATTGCTTTCTAAGAAAGCCTTAAAATTATTCAACAGCTAAGAAAACTATAATGTGAAAATTGCACATTCACGTGTTTGGCTAATTTATTTTTTTACAAATTGTATTTACCTGCTGATAGTAATAACACTTGAACCCATTTTTGAAGTGAATCGTGAAGATGATGCAGTTTGAATGATGATTTAAGAAATCATCTAAACGTTTTCAACAGTCTGTGCTTCAGGCAAGTTGGGCAGTACCTTTTCAGAGGTAATTAAAGTTAGTATTTTTATTTCAATCTCAACCTGTTTTAATGTCCTAATTCATAACAATCCCATTTTCTAACTTTAACACAATCTATAATTTCATTAATGGGTTTGAAACTGATAGTAGTTCACTAAGTAATGAAGTTCACAGCTTGAAATATCACAGAATTTTCAGGAATCTAACTTTCATAAGGCATACACGATGATAAAAAGCATGAGCGTACACGAAACTTTCATTTCCTGCACGCATGAAACTAAGTAAACATTGTTCTATAGTCCACTACTTAGCTATCAAAAGTAAACTGTTAATCCTGGCTGTTTTAGCCTGTCGTTGCATGTTTTGCTCAGTGGCGTCACGCTGACATCTGGATCAAGCTCGGTCTGAAAAGGGAGGAGAAAAAATATTTAATATAGGAAAACTGTAAGTAAAAAATCAATGGTAAAGCAAATACATTTTCGTATACAAAAGAACGACCCTGTTTTGATGAATTTTATAACAACAATGTAGGCTCAAAAAATCCATTGTTTCTCATCCCCACACATAAACGTGCATACATTCCGAAGAAGCTACATCAACGTCTCCTATAACTGAAAGCCTCCACACGGTTTTTTATAGGTAGTCGATTAGACCACTATGAAGGTAAACCAGTTTACGAAAGATCCCTTTAATCGAAAATTTTGTAAAAATAAGAAAGTGGTGGCAAATAGATGTCTAAAAATTTGTTTATGAATATGATTGGTTTGTCTTATTTACTTGTCTATCACTACAGATTCAATTCTCAAGAATTTCTCTCAGTCACTTTTAACATAGAATTTGGGATCATCAGAGATGCCAACTGCTCCGGACACGCCAAAATAATTAAGAAAACGGTAAATAACTACAAAGTAAATTTTGCAAATATTTGACTATTTTTGCTTGCTTTTTAAAAAGTATAGCAGGCGAGTTCTGCCAAAAAATGGTGAATGATATAAGCCTATGAATTATTTAAAAATAGTGGTGAATAAAAATCTACTAAATCGAATTCATTAAACCAAGAATTACAATTGATAAACTACCACTTTAAAATATATATTTGCTGTCCGGAGCAAGTTGGCATCTCTAGATCATGCACGCAATTGGATCACTTTTAAAATAGTCTGCGCAGACTACTTATATGATATCTTGTGGAAGTGATGGCTACGCATGTCCACATTTTGTAGAGCAGTTTGGTGATCAATTTTGCAGACTTGGATTAATGTGTAATTGAATCAGTCAGAAAAAGTAATTGAAAAGCAGCCATCTCAAAGTTTCCTGTTCGTGTAAAATTTGATTTTATTAATTTTTTAATTAATTTCAGTCATCAGAAAAACAAATGCCGCATATGTAAAAATATGCAACTTAAAGGTTTTTAAAAATGCTAATAATTTTCCATGATTGATTAACTATCGCTGTATCGTAACAGTATCAATCATTTATGTTTAAAATAAAAATCTTCGGAGCATAGATGTTTACAAAGAAACTAAAGTAAATAAAAAAGAAGATTGAGCTTCTTTTTTCTTTTTCCTAATTGATATTTGCTTTTTGTTGTGTACCACTTCCGACAGTTTAACACTTTCATATCCGGTGACACCAACGTGTTGTCACGTGAAAACCAAACGTTAGCTGGCGGTGACAACACGTTGGTGCCATACGCAAGCCATACACTAACAGCCGGAGACAACACGTTGGCGTCATGTCCAAGCCAAACGTTAGAGGCCGGTGACAACACATAGATGTCGTGCTTTGCAACCTGATATTCATGTGACATTTTGTCAAGGGACAATAGAGTACAGGAATGCCAACTGCTTCGCTTTCTGGAATAGTATTAATAAAGTGGTAGCAAATTATATAGTAAAATTCATTAAAGAAAGATAGTTACGCCTACTTTTTAATATAGGAACCAGTGGTTTGATGCTTTACCGTTGCATTTTATATCATACATATAATTTTTGATATTTAGTGGTGAAAAAATTACTTATAATGAAAAATACTAAACTAAAAGTAACTTAAATTTCGCTGCCACTAGAAAATACTATTTTACAAAGCGGAGCAAGTTACACGGAACCGGTTACATGGTAAACTTATCACTAAATATATGCGGACGGCATAGTGTTAAGATACAGGTTCCATCAATGTATATTTCTAACTCCCTTAGTTGATAACTCAAAACGCTATGACGTTAATATCAAAATTTGCATAGTAAATTAGGAAGAGATTGTACAAGTTGGCGTCCCTGAAGAAAGTAATTTGTCATTTCCCAAGGTTAAGCAAGATGGAAAAAAGAAAAAACTAGTAGTTAAACCATTTCAGTTTGAGCTTTTTTTCGGGAGGTGTAAATCTATTCTTTTCTTCAAACTATTCAACAACATCTACTTTTCGTCTTAAAAGAAGCAGTTTTATATTAATTCTGTAACTGTAAAAGAAATTTAAATTTACAGATATTTTATCTCTTTCGAAAAAATGCTACAATAAAATATCTTTCGTGACAGTTTTTGCTCTTTCCCGTCTTGATATGCATAAGCTTTCCCCTCTGGTCACTTCACCCGGGATTTTTTTCGAAATTTTATTAAATACGAATAATAACAATATTATATTAAAATTCCAGTAACATATTGTATAAATGAAATAATATACATGAAGTAGAAAAATCGGGAATAAATATTTAAGAATCTTTTACAATTCTCTATTTTTTTTAATTTAATCANTTTCTCTTGAAGAGGAATGCAAATTAAAACAAAGACTATCGAAAAAGTCTAAATCGAAATACTTCAAAACTAAAGTCCTTCTAAACCCACTTTCAGCTACCGTCTTTTAGATATATCGTATTTCGTTTCCTTATTTGTTTTAAAATTAGAGATTTGTGTCATATAATATCACTAAAACTAATCAATGAAGCTAATATACATAATATAAATCAGTACAATGTAAATTAAAAATATAATATTTTTCGCATATATTGAATCAAAATAATTTAACAGTTAATGGAATATATAAAAATTGGAAAGATTGAAGATTTTATAAAGATTGAAGATCAGCTTACTCTATTTGGCTGTTCATCTTCCCAACTTAGCTTTTTCACTCGTCGTGGTATGGAACCATTTGGCCAATATATATTCTGAACTTTTCCATTACTTAATCCACTTCCTGGTCTTGTAGTAAAAGTACCCATATGATGATCATCCCCTCTCAAAGTACCGTTTCCTTGCCAAGCACTTACTTCCGAGGGTGCAGGAGGCAATTGTCCACGATGCAAAGTACCTTGATGATTATGATCAGGCATATTAAATACGGGATTTTCCACTCCCGATGGGTGTTCAATAGTATTAGCACCTTGTCCTCCCTGAGGTTTGTTATTGTTGTTGCTAGTGAGAGTACCTCCAGAAATATATGTTGCCATTTTATTAGCCATAGGTGTACCATTTGAAGACACTACACTTGGTATTCTATCCCGGTATTGTTTCCTAAAATATTTTATTTATATATATTATAAAGTGAAAATAGTTAAGTTTTAATTTTAGTTGACAAAATTTATTGAAAAGAAGTTTATCATTATAAATTTTAGTAAGATTAAACACAAAAGTAAACAATTTTAGTAAGTTTTGTACCATTTAAATTAACACAAAAAATTAAATGAACTATTGGGCAACAGAAAATAAATATATTAAGTAATTATTCCTTTCCTTTATTTATCAAAAACTGGGCACCTGGGCCGAGCAGCGGCCCTTATCCCATACATCATGAAAGTTCAAAATACATTGAATTATAAACATATTGGGTTTAGCATCATTATGGTAGCTATGCAAGAATTAAAATACTTTGCTTAATGAATTAAAAATTAAGGTTGAAGTTACAAATTTAAAGGATTTTATATCAATTAATAAATCTATTGAAAAAATGTTTATATAATTGTTAAAATAAATATTAAGAGATATTAAGTAACTATAGTAAGGCAATGATAACACTAAAGAAAAATATTGAGAAAAAAAGAGAGTTAGAAATTTTTCGATTTTATCAAAATTCTTAATTGAGCTAGTAAAATATTGCAATTAAAAAATAATATAAAAAAATGTCAAATCTAAAAATAATATTTTCATAAATAATTCATATTTATGATGGGTCAGAAAATTATTAAAACTAGAAAGTATTATCTCCACTTAAATTTTATCTCAAGGAATATGACCCATCATTTAACATAAAACTTTCATCTAAAAACTATCTCACACTAATCTTACGCATCTAGATATAAAACTGTCGAAGTAAAATTTTAAAGTAAGTATTATACTTAAACATTTCTGACAAATTTATGAAAAAATTCTAAACAGTTTTAAAAGCATTATATGGTTAACGTTTAAGAATTAATTTGTAAACGCCTGTGGCATTGCATAAGGGTCAATCTATAACAATAGTATTGCGACAATAGTATTTTTGGTCTTCATTTTCGACTAGAGTAATTTGAAATTATGTATTTTTAGGGTGGTTATTACAGAGCACTCTGGATATGTAATAACCCTATTTTTCATCAAGACAGTATAACATAATTATGTCTTTGGTGAAATTATTAAAAAATTGGTGATTTGGTGAAATCATTCCGAACTACTGCAATGAAAACGCTGCACTTTGCAATGAATAAAAAGTTCTTTCATGAAAAAAAAAATGATTGGGCATTTAAGCTTAGACAAATTAAGAACTTCATACTTTCAGCTACAGTTTAAGTTTTAAAATATCGCAGTAGTCCAACTTCAAATATAAACAGTGATATTTATCTAATTAATATGTTATTCTTCTTCTATTGGCAAGACAGCCCTTTATGGGCCAGAGCCTTCCCTAGCACCTCTATCCTGCTCTTTTCTTTGTGATTGTTCTCCAGTTAGTAATTCTTAGGATTTTGAAATCTTCTTCCACACAACCAAGCCATCTGATCTTAGGCGTACCTCTAACTCTAGTTCCCATTGGTTTGTAATTGTAGATCTTAAATGTCAAGGAAGAAGGATCCATTCATCGCATGTGACCCTCAAGCTTTAAGCGACTTATTTTGATGTATTTGTTGATATCAGCTTCCTTGAATAGCTCATAAAGCTCAAAATTGCGTCTTTGTCTCCATAAGCCATCCACATTTATTTCACCGAAAATTTTTCTCAAGGCTTTTTTAATGTTATGGTGAACATAAATATCTTGTTAATTTCAAGATAAATTTCAGTGTTAAAATAAAGTTAACATTTAAAATAATTGAGTAAAACTTAATTTATTTTAGGGAAACTTATGGGGAACGTTGGTCTCTAATAATGTATTAAAAAAAGCTGATGTGCAAAAGTTTCGTTACGAAAAATGTGGATGGATTTACAATTAAAACGAAATTTCTCTTATGCAATATTATTCTACAAGCAATACCTGTATGTTACAGGTATAAATGTTTAGCCTATAAAGCAATTAAACAGTAAAGATTAGTTGTTAAATAATTAGCTTTTTAGTAAAAAAAACTTACGTTTTCAAAATATAAATAGTCAATGTAATGATGACAATTATCAAGGTTCCTAGCAAAACACCAAAGACAATCATAAGTAGTAATGAACTGTCAGATTTCTTAATTTTAAATACACTGGATTGGGCGACATCTTCAGGGAACTGTACAGTAACCAGAACTGATGACTGACGAGGTGGTACACCGTTATCTGTAGCCACAACTATTATATGACAAGTACTGGCATTGAGAAACTCCAGGTTTCGAACTCTCAACTCTCCTTTGTTGGTGATGGAAAACACTCTGCAAAATAATTTCATTTCATTAAAAAATAAATAATAAATGTAAAATATTTTCCGCTCGAAAGTTTCCTTTTCATACAGCAAATTTCATAAGATAATAAATATTAAGAATAAACAATTTAATTTTCATATTGTAAATTTCATAAAACAATAAACATTAAGAGCCAAATAATTTCATTTTCATACAGTAAATTTCATAAAATAATACATTAAGAGTAAATAAGTTCATTTTCATACAGTAAATTTCATAAAATAGTAAGTATTAAGTATAAAATAATTTCATTTTCATGAAGTAAATTTCATAAAATGGTAAATAATAATTGTAAAACAATTTCATATCGAAAGTTTCATTTTCATACACAGAATATTTCATAAAATAATAAATACATATAAATAATAAATATTTTTCTTTCCTAAATTTTATTTAAATACAATAGAGTTAGTAAAAAAGGGTACCTTCAGGTCTAATAAAAATTTAATAGCGATAGTAAATTTTTGTCATTGTCATAAATTTCTGTCATTCTGTAACTCACTCTCTGTCATTCTGCAACTTAATTTCATTCCATGATGCAAATACCGTGCCACGAAAAAAAATGGCAGCTCATTTGCCTTTGAAGAAAATAGCTATTTTCTATCTCAGTTAACATTATTTCGTTAATATATATTAATCAGCGCTGCCAACTTCTACTCTTTTTTGAAGATATTTTATTGAGTGGTAGACAATTACAAATTAAAGCTTTCAGAATTTTGGGTGATTTTGAAACAATGTGGCGTTTTATATGAACTTTTGAATCATTTACATGTAGGGATGCAGAAAATAACTTTAAATCAAATTTTCTGAACAAAGAATCATACAGGAGTTGATAAAAACAATGGAAACACTTCTATACTAACTATATGTAAGCAATTTTTCTTTCAGCATCAAATGTTTTGGAAGATTTTACAGTGCGAAACTGATGCACAAAATGAAAGATCATGCCCGAAGCTTTTTGAAATAATTACCCTGTAAACCATACAAAATTTACATCGAGCAAAAGGAGGGTGGGAATTTAAAAGCTGATTTCCTTTCTCATCACCAATTTAATTTTTAAAAAAAACGTTATTGAATAAATATTACGATCCTGTAAAATTATCCTACAGAATTACTGAAAATCAATATTGAAACCTTTAAAATAGTGCAGTTTAAGAAGAGAACGGGAGAGGCCTGTCAGCTCCTTCCACTTTTTCTCATAATCCTAACATCAACGGTGAATCACCAAAGAATATTCGAAGTCAACAACATACAGCAGATCGAACGATTTCGAGGAGGTCGAGGACCTATACAATGTTACAACTGCCAAAATTATGGAGAAACACAAAGCCACTGCAATGCACCTGCAAGGTGTGTAAAATGTGCTGAAAACTGCAGGTCACATGAATGCAACAAAGACAGAACTACACCTCCAAAATGCTGTAATTGTTACAAAAGCCACACAGCCAACTATACTGGGTGCGAGATCCGTCCCAGCAGAAGGAACCCTCAAACAACATCAAATTCGACGCCTAAACTTGCTCATCGATTAGTGTCATTAATTAAAGAATTACTGGAATTGCTCAAAAATGAAGAAGTGCTCCGCCTTCTGCGGGGGATCATCGGGGAAACATTTCAATCCCAGTGAGTCCTATTTGTATTTTCAAGACTCTCAAGTTAAATTCACTGAACTTTTCACAGCAGACTTTTACTTAAGTTAAATTAAAGTACATTAAAAATTATTTTCTGATAATATAGCTAATTTATGCATACATATATATCAACTTATGCATGTTAAATTCTTTTGAAAATTCTATTGTATTTAATGAGCAATACTTCTCTGATAAAATATATTTTCTGCATTTTCTCCAAATATGTTATTTTATCATGTATCAAGGTAAGATTTATCTATATTCATGAATTATGCCTTTCATTTTTCAAAAATCAATTACTGTACGTATCAAATCATGTTTTATCTTTATTTTTAATTTAAGTCTACAATCAATATTTCTAGTGTTAAGTAAAAACGTCAATTTGTCATATTAAATTTTTTCATTGTTTTATTGTTTCTCAAGCAAACGGCTTGATTTTTTATGACTACCACAATGTTTGCCAAATCAATGTATGTTACCTTACTGTATGTAATTTAATGATGAATGGAAAAGGTGCCCAGATTATTTAAATAAAGCAAGTAAAATTATCCCAATATTTCTGGTATTAAAAGCAGAAAAAAGTGATTAACTTCCAACACTCGTTTTGTTCGATCCGAAATTTACATGGATATAAGTGACATCATTTCCAGCGATGCCAACTTGCTCCGGACAGCAGATATATATTTTAAAGTGGTAGTTTATCAATTGTGATTCTTGGTTTAATAAATTCAATTTAGAAGATCTTCATCCACCACTATTTCTAAATAATTCGTAGGCTTATATAATTCACCACTTTATAGTATATATGCCATGCTATACCTTTTAAAAAGAAAGCAAAAATAGTCAAATATTTGCAAAATTTACTTTGCAGTTATTTATCATTTTATTAATTCTTTTGGCGTGTCCGGAGCAGTTGGCATCTCTGCATTTCTAAATGCTTCAAGCCTGATTATGACAACAGTTTTGACATGCAAAATCTTATAAGACATTTGTTGCTAAAAAAAAAGTTGCTTATATAGAGCTAACATATCATTGTTTCCATTATTTTTATCAACTCCTGTACATTGAAATATAAATTTAACAACCATTAGAAGAAATTTACATGAAAAGCATAGAAAGTTGGCAGTCTCGAATTAATGTCCTACCCTTATGTTCAAATATGAATACCTAAGTTGCTATCATATAAAGGTGAATATGAATGTTTTGGTTCTTTCTATTAAATAGGGAAATAATTTTTATTCAATAAATAATTTTTTTGAAACTAAATAAGGAAATATAAAAACGTTACCTTGAAAAACCGTCAATAGACAAAAACGTTGACATTGAGAAATACATTACAGTTAAGTGTTCATTTAGATATACATTTATATTGTAGTGATCATTAATTTGTTAAGCAATCAAATTTTATCTCTTTTCATTACTTTATTACATTTTCTAACCCGCGGAAAAACCGGAAAAAAGTATGATTATGAGAAAGATAATTTACTTACCTTGCATGTGGTCCTTTTACAGTTAACTCAATTGTATCATTTACATCACCATCAGAAACCTACAATTACAATTATAATACATTATAATATAATAATACATTATCTAAATACTTCTTTTTATCTAAATAACATTCCAGATTTCAATTTTCTTTTAATTTTTACAGTGTAAACTGATTTACAAGATTATTAAGAACGATTATTAAGAAAACACTGTTAAAAAAAGATTATTAATAAAAGATAGATTATAAAGAAATGCTAAAAATGTTCATGTCTAAAAAGGTCTAATGTGTAATCATGTCTATTGTATAAAAAGATTCTATCAAAATAGAATTTTTTTCATTTAGTAAATGTACACAATATTTCAATCGATTTGTAGCGTATTTCAGTTAATCAAAAACTTTTAAAGATCAATTTCCAATAACTAATAAATGATTGATTTAGCTACATTAAATCAACAGCATAACTCGAATTCATTTCGACTGAAGAGTTAGGTAATTTATTTAGTTAGCTTTTTTTACTTTTTCAGTTAGACTTAATTAGAGAACCATTTGATCAGCTAACTTTGGTAACATTGTTTTGTTTACATTTGGTGTAGAATAGTCGAAAAAGGCTTTATCTCAACTCGTGTCTTTTTCTATTGCCACCACTATTTGTAAAAGTTTAAGATATAAGAGTTTTTTTAGCATTGCAGCTAGAACCCATGAAGAATCTGTCACGAGGAAAGAGCTTGGTCTGAAAGCTGGTGGGGCCAGCAATGTACGATGAACACAGATTTAAAAAAACGAAAAACACTCAAGGCAAATTGCTTTCTAAAACATAAGCTGTAGGCAACAGGAAGAAAACCCCACTTGATATTAACAACTATGTACTCTCCCATTTTTTCACATAGGTGTTTTTCAAAAGTAGGCTCTTTGGGTAAATGGGTAAATAAATTTATTGTGATATATTAAGCATTTTTTAATAGAAAAATACCTTTATTTTTAAAAAGACGGTCAAAAAATATGGTGAATAATTACCTCAATAGTTCCAATAAGACTAGCAATTCTGACATCCGCATGTTTTACGAGAAAATTGTACTGCGACTGAACAAAGGTTGGATCATTGTCATTTACATTCATAATGGTCACATTTACTCTTGCCACATCACTCTGAAATAGAACATATAAGAATTAGACACAAAAAAGAATTTAATAACAAAAATTATATACTAGTTAACTCTTTATTCTATTATCGGACATTATACTAGATTGAACACCACTAAGAAAAATTATCAACCAATTGTCATGAAACAATTGTCAACCTAAGAAGATGACAATAGTTTCATGAGACATCTTAAAAGGTTTAACCCCTTGGGGACGGGTGATTCAGAAATGCATTCGTACAAAATCAGAATCAGGATGTAGTTAAATAAAAAACGGTAATTTAAATGCAGTCGTTGCTGATTTGAGAGACTTACTTTGCTTTTATTTTAATTATTGTTAGTTTAATCATATATAAAATCAATGTTAATTCAAAGTATAACTAAATAGTTTTATTTTGAACAAAGTAATGGTGAATTTAATTAATCAAACAATTATAACTCCACCCACAAATAAACTGCTAAAGAAATACTTTGAATACCAGTTTTATATTTTTACCCTGATTGATACGGTTTTATGCTGTCACATATTTGTGACAGTCGGCGCGAAAGGGTTAAATTTCACACTAGTTTTAGAAATTAAGTTACGCAATTTCATTGGATAAGTATATTTCCTTTTGAGAAGTAAGTATGATAAAAATCTTTAAGAACAGAAAAGGAACCATGGTTATTTTTTCTCTGTTTTCAAATTCTTTCAATCAATCTCACTTCTCGTTAGCGGTCGCGGAAAATGGTGAATTACGCAATAAGAGCTAAGGGTCGCAATTTCTTGCGTTTAAAATATCGTTCTAACTCCATTTTAAGTTTTGCTTTCTTTTTCTTTTTTTTACTGTTGGAATTACATTTCGATAAAAAAAAAGTGGATTTTGGGATTCGGAAAATTTTGAAATGTAACTGTAACTGGGAGAGCTACGCAATCGTTTTAACATTGTTCTTGAACACATAGATCATATTACCTATGTGCAAAATTTTATTCCGTTCACTCAAACGGTATGCCTTACAGAGGGTCAGTTGTCGGTACAGTTAATTTAAAATCACCTTGCATATTGTTTACTCAACAATGGTTAAGTTTTAAAATGCCATGATTTGATTGTTATAATGTATGTATTTGGCCGTTATGACGTAATGCATGTATTTAATCTTAACTGATTTCAATTTCCATTCCTAAATTTCATTTTTCTCTTCGTTAAGCGACGAGGTACTTTATAACCGTCATTGAGCAGTAGACCTAATTTTGGGTTTACGACTACTAATGCTCAACTCCGTATCCTTGTAATTTTGAACCAAATCCAGAAGACAAAGAAACTTCTGCATCAAGTATTGGGTGAAATTTGCCTTCTTGGAAGACTTTTTGATGGCTTGGAAGACTTTTTGACCTTGCATATTGTTTATTCAACAATGGTTAAGTTTTAAAATGCCCTGATTTGATTGTTATAATATATGTATTTGGCCATTATGACGTAATGCATGTATTTAATCTTAACTGATTTCAATTTCCATTCCTAAATTTCATTTTTCTCTTCGTTAAGCGACGAGGTACTTTATAACCGTCATTGAGCAGTAGACCTAATTTTGGGTTTACGACTACTAATGCTCAACTCCGTATCCTTGTAATTTTGAACCCAATCCAGAAGGCAAAGGAACTTCTGGATCAAGTATTGGGCGAAATTTGCCTTCTTGAAAGACTTTTTGATGGAACTAACCAGCGTTTGCGTTATGTGGAGAGAGAAACCTTGAAAACCTTTCTGACGACAAGGGGATTCTAACCCTTTATCCGTCTACCACTGAGGATATTTTCTGTCAGCACAGTGATCGGTACGAGCTGAGTTCGGAATTCGTATCGACCAGCCATCGCTGTGATTCGAACCTGGATGAACCTCTATCCCCTGAGAGTCAACGGGTCTAAGCGGTGAAGTATAAAGTAGGAGTGTTTGGCATACATGAAGGAAACTTATTCAGGACATACACTTGAATCGAACGTAAATAGGCAAAGCCTCCATCGAACACGTATTTGTGTAAATAGTCTACACTCTTGGCTTGTGCGGAACGCACATATTCCATAGCCACACTGTTTTCGCTGGACGCATATATACGTCCTTAGCAGTCAAAGGGATAAACAAATTTAAATTTTAGTTTACTTCCAAGCGGAAAATCTTCGTTATAAAAAACATTCCCTATTAAAATTTAAAAGAAGAACTCGAATGATTAAAGAGTGTGTTTTTGTAAAAATGAACTTAAAGATTTACAAGATGCGGTGGTATACAAAATAATCCAGATGCGGTGGTTATACTGTTAACAAAGAATTCTAAATTGTTTTCTTAATTTTGATTCACACTTTAAACATTGGAATTTATTTTCTTCAAACTTAATAATTTCCAATTAAACAAAAATGAAAATCAACATTCGCTTTGAGAAAAAAATTCTTAAAACAAGTAGTTGTCTCAAATGAGTCCACTTTCAAATTTTTAGATTTAATAGGGAAAAAATCGAGACCCACTGTATCACTGTAATTTTCTGAAAATAACAAACTTTTCTTAATTTCAATAAAAACATCAGAAATTTAGACTAAATATACATAAGTGTGACAAAATTTGGTAATTTTTGTTGTAAATTTTAACACTAGTAACAAATTTATCTAGCAAACTCTTAAGAATTTTATTTTAATAAATATTTACCGTTTTTCCATCCGATGCAACAACCCTTAATGAATAAAATGTTCTTTTTTCATAGTCCAATGGTTTAGCTATGATGATTTCTCCCCTGAAACAAAACAACAAAATATAATTTTATTATCGTGACATGAATTAATGCTTATGAAAGGCGCTTTAAATATTTTATTGATAGTAAAAACTTACGTATTTTGTATTGCAAATTCTTCAGATGGATGATCCAATAACTGCAATCTAACATGCTGTTGAAAATAGGATAATTTATTAGCTATATTTTTAATAATAAGTGTATGCAAATATGACCAACGATTTGTAAAATCAAGTAAATATATTAAAGACTTTCTTGAAACTTTCTGTTAAATAAAAAAATAAAAAAAGTCCCAGTTCAAGTGCTTTCATTTGAGCCAAAGCAATAATTTAAAATTGTATGTACCATCTTGGTGTAAAGAACATATTTGCACTCTCGAACGAAAATTTCTTAAATATTTTGAAAATTATTGAATTTTTTAAGAAAAAATCGCCAACTTGGCGAATTTTTTCCCTTAGAAAAATTATTATAAAAATCAAAGAATAGTTCTCAATTTTTATGATTTCAGATAATGGAGCGTTGGAGTAACTTCCCAGATATTAAAAATTAGATCAAAACCGCTTTTAATTTTTGCAAAACAGTAAAAAAATTTTTACTCTAATGTTTTGTGCCATTTTTTGAATCAGCATATAGAGATAGTTATCTGAAAATAGGCGAAATTTAACCAAATTGTCATGAGTAACTATTGAAAACTCCCGGCTGTTATAAAAATGGCATATTATTTAGACAAAAACCTCATTCCATGTGAGGAAAGAGCCATCGAAAAACAACTAAAAAAATGAATAAATAACTGCATTCTGCTTAAAAGTAAAGATTTTCTCTCAGAGTTTAAAATTAGTTACAAAAAGTATTAAAAAACTGCACTGCTGCCTGGCAAAATTATTAACAATATTTTCATTTGAAGTCTGAGAAAAAAAAATTAACAAACGCTGATTCAAACATTTCAGTTGGAATAGTTGAGGTGATGCAAAAAAACATTGTTTCATAGTTTTCCCAGTAGCTGCGCCATCTATGGATGAACATTGCAATTAATTTTTAAGCTTGCAGAAAATAAAACTTGTTTCCGGAACAGAACTCAATAACCATGCACTTTTATCTTTTTTTTCAAAGTGTTGGTCATTTCGGATATGCATATTAAATATTGCATTCATATAAATTATCAGAATTCAATAGTAACAATACCTTATCATTTGGTTTAGTTGTTTGTACAGTTATGACTACTTGGCCAACTGGTGCACTTTCTAAAGCTGTTGTTACATAATCAGTCTGTGTGAATTTCAGTTCAGTTGGTGCTATGTTATCGCTTTCAATTGTCAAAGTTGTCAAAGAATATCGATCTTTATTATCCATTTGAGTAGCTTTCACAACCAATGTAATTGGAAGACGTAAATCTTCTGGTAATGTTTTTCGTATCGTCACTTGTCCTGTTCTACGATTTATTTCGAACAATTCATGTTCTGCAGATTCTAAATAATTAAACAAATAGTACTATTAATAGGTACAATTATAAAAGTACTTATATGATATAATGATAATTTATGTATAAAAAGAAGAAAGCATCAAACTATCAGAAACTGATTTAAACGGCTAAACCTAAAATAATCATTTAAGAAAGGAGTATGTATGACAATATGTATCAGTCTCTATTTTCGCATAATTAAATATCAGTTTTTAAATTAGAGCTGCTACTTGTCCGGAAAATATAAAAAGTCAATACATTTCATTTATTTTTTTCTTTCCTTTATTTTCCACGAGAGAGAAATAAATATTACTGGCTAAAACTTAATTTTTTTTCTATTATAATATGGATATTGTGATATTTTTTTAAGTAATTCAAACTTAAATAGTAGCAATTCACTTTTCTGAATTAAAGGTAAAAATGGAATTCTTTTGCTAAAAAGTTTTTAACATTTTCTGGTTAAGTAACATATGTATTAACATATAAATTATGACTTATGGCACCATTATTTCATTTTTAATTAGTTTCATCAATTTTAAACAAACTATAATTTGAAATTTAGAATAAGATATTTTTAAATGATAAATAATGTTCTAAAATGAAATAGAATAAAAAAAAATTACAAGCACAAATGTCTTGAAACAGTCAATATTATATAAATATCATAGATTTGAAACTTAATGCACATAATTTCTCTCAATATATAGATTCATATTTTTCATCATACTGTAATAATCAATTAAAATTTGCACCCTTTAACTTTAAATTATTTCCAGTTTGCATAAATTATTAATTCAAAATTTGAAGATTGTCAAAAAAAACTATTATCTTAAAAATTTCATAATTAATTTTTCTATGTTAACCCTTTACACTCAAAGTAAAGCTAAAAAAACGTATGCAACAACTCAGAGTTTACAAGACAAAATCCACTGTTTGTTCAATTACCATGTAACTCCCAGTGGCCATTAAATAAAGTGCTCACTGTAAAGTAAATGTGTGCGTTTTCTATTTTTTATTAAGATGGTAATCATCAATTAAAATACTCGTCCTTTTTTAAGTTAAACCATTTCAAGTTTTCTTGGATTATTAATCCAAAATTTGAAGATTGTCAAATCTCATTATTATTTTTTTCTTATGTTAACCCTTTGCAGTCGAGGTTCTTCTTAAAATTAAAAAAAAGAGAAAAAAACAGACGCACTGTTTGTTAATTTACTAATTTCGAAAATTTTGCCCAAAGCCATGTTTTTGCCCTAGTCAGATACCTTAATCCTATTGTCGTATTTGGCGTTATTTATGTGACTCCTTTTTAATGCTCAATTCATGTTTGTTCAATTTATATTTAAGATTTTTTTTTTAAAGAAAGAAAGAAAAAAAAATTTATTAAAAACGTTAAAGATTGTAAATTAAAAACTTTAAAGATTATATTTCAATAAAAGATGAATTTTGTGATAAAAAGCATAAATTCGGGTCATTATTATTATCGTTGGTTAACTTTTTATTTTTATTAATTTCTTTTTAAATTTGAAGACATAACGAATAAATAACGTATAGAAATTTAAAAAAAAAAGTTTCTTTATTCCTAATTCTAATATTACTGAGAAGAAAATCAATTGTTGTTAATTTTGTTACTGAAAAGACGTGAATTCTAAAAGCTAAAGATATTTTAGACTTAAAATTTTCCTTTCTTCAATTAAAACAAAAAATCTGTTTTTTTAATAAACTGACATAAAATTTTAAAAAATTTCTTGAAGAAAATAATTACAGTATAACACTTCATTTATATGACTGCATTTTTTATTATTATTATAGCTTTCATTATTCAGTGATAACAAATAAACCTTTAACTATTCCATATTTTAATAATAAATTACCTGATTTTTTTAATTCTAAACCTAATTTCTTTGTGAATCTAATTGTTTTTCTTTTTTTTAAGCGACAAGTTTCTAATTCAGTTATTTCAATAAATTATTATAATACTATTTTTACATAAACTATCTCTGTTTTTATTTAACATCTAAATACTTTTATTGAGAAGACATAAATTCTAAAAGGCGGATTCTCAAAACTGTTATTATAACTTACCAGAATTGAAAGTATACTGAATGGCAGCTTGAATACCTTCATCAGGATCAACAGCTTTGATTGAAGATGGGGAAATACTTAATGGTGTGCCCTAAAAAATTTAAATACGTCATTACATTTAAATTTTTTTCTCTATGATTTAAAATAACGTTGTAATTTCGAATAAAAAATTAAGTAACAGTAATTATAATGCTGAACGCCTAAAATAAATAAATAAATAAAAACTTCAACTTCGTAAAACTCGTAAATACACATAGATTCAAGAAAAAAAGGAACGAAAGAAGATCTAAATTTTGCCTTAAATTTTATTTCACAGTTAATTAATGCACTACTTATTTTTTAAAATTCTTAATTTTGAATTTAGAAATTGGAAACTTAATTGAAAAATAGAAATATTGGTTGATTTGTTAAAACGGTTTCTTTTGTTAAAGAAATATACGTTTTTTACTGATGTATTTTTTTTTCTTTTAGAATTTCAACGAGTAAATAAATAATACATAATCATCTAAGTTTCAGTAGGTACCAGAATTATGGAAGAATTATTGAATTCTCTTCTCTGCAAATAGATAGCACTGCCATAAAACATATGTTGGTTCATAATTTGGTTTCTAAATAATAGATGGCAGCACTAAAAATATTGTTCTTTAGAAATATCTAGGTTTTACGCTGATATATCTCATTTCTAAACTATTTTTGAGAGGTAAAGTTTAACTAATTTATTAAGGCACTAAATCTAGATAAAAGTTAAAAAGTCTCATAAGTCTATTCAAATTTATTTTCAGCTTCTTGAGATTTTTTTGAAGATTTGTAAAATAAATTAAATTTAGTAAAAAGCTTGAACTTTTTTCTAAGTTTGGAAAATTATTTTTGAATGCATACTTAATTAATTTTAAATTCAAAAAAGGTTTCTAGATTTGTAAGAGACAAAAATCTTTCACACAGAAGTATTTTTGATTAATATACGAACATATGAAAAAGATGAGCAATGTAAATTGAACATCTTGACGCTCTAAATTATTACTCCTTAAGAAATTTTATAATAAACAGTATCAAGAAGGTACAAAATAAAATAAAAATTAATTAAAATACAAATAATAGTTAAATTTCTCTTATTTTTCCTCCAGTAAAGGAAAAAAAAAATTATCTGGATTTTTCGATAACAAATTGTTTAGAAAGTTCCTATTATAATATATAGATGGCAGCACTATGAGAGCTACGTTTGTACATTACGCTTCTTCATAATAAAATATGCTAAAAACACAACAGGCCATTTTAAATCTGCATTTTGTTCTCATTATTTAAGTTTTTTTTCCATGCTTTTTTTTATTTATTTATTTTTTTGGTTACCTCTATCACAAAAATCTCAATAATTAGTAATAAATAAAATAAAAATTGTGAATACATTTTTTGCATAATAATTCGTCTGTAAATCAGTGCTTCAGTACATAACATTTATTTACATTATATGACATAAAATAAATAGATTAAAACTCACTGTAATAAATTTTCAAAGATCATAACGATTTTAAATAAAACCTAATTTATGACTTAATTATTATTACCTTTTATTTATATAATCTACTCAAGTATATCAATGCATTGCCATTTTGTACTTCATTTTTCTCTAAAAATTATGATTAATAATACAAGAAATTAAAACACAAAACGACAATGATTTGTATTTTAATCATCATTTTTTTTCCTTCAATTTCTTCAGTTTATTTCATGTTAGTAATCATTCATTATAGCATATTTATATGCTAAAGAGAAATAATTTAGTAAAAAATAGATGATTTCAAAAAACTATTTGAAATTTCACTGTCTCTATTTGCAACTTATCTTCAGTTAGTTTAAAATTATGAGTGTAATTTAGCGAGTTAAAAAGGAGTTTCAATTTAATGCATTTAAACAAAATAAACTTCTTAAAACTTTTTGCCGATCACTACTCAAAAATTTCATTTTTGCCGATTCATTAAAACATTTATTATTTTTTCTGAGTTATATAAATATTATTTTATAATTAACTCAAAAATTGAGAAATTGCAATGCGTGAAAGTTAATTAAAATTTTAAGATGGAAAACTAATTAAAAAACTATGGACATATCCTAACCATGCGAAAAAAAGCAAATATTTATAGTTTATGGCCATTGATAAGCCTCACACTCAAAGTATTCAAATTTTTTATTTTTTTTTTAAGTGGAAAAAAAAGAAGAAAAAACGCGACTTTAATGTATTTAAGTCACGTCTCTTGACCTATCCTTTGTATAATTCATATGTGATTCTATTTATTAATTTAACCTACTTAATATATTAAAAAGATCGAAAATGATGAAACATCAAATAAAAATAAAATGACGTACGTACAAAATTCCAATGCATCTTAACAACGCCAGGAATAATCTCAAAATTAATACTAACAACACTCAATGGTGCCACAGGATTATTAAATTAAATTGTAATATTAATTATTAATAGTTCGAGACATAATAAAAATTAGTATTAAAACAGAAAAATCAGGATCATATGTATCTTACGAATTACAAGTAAATTTGATTAATTACACCTTAACAAACAATATTAATCATTACTCTAATAAATAACAAACAGTGTCACTAAATAAATAACCAAAGGTAATACGAATAATTTCTCTTCTTACTTGCCGACATATATGTTGTGTAATTCAGTCTTCTATGTAATTAAATTCTTGGAAAAAGTTTTTTCTTAAGTAGTTAAAGTGTAAACATTTTAGAAAATGTTTGTGAATTATGATATTATCTAGTGAAAATTCCGAAAACACGTAAAATTACTAAGAAGCAGTTTGAGATAAAAATATCATTTTAGAAAGAAGTGTGACTTATTGCTATATTGCCACAGGTCCTTCAATATAAAAAATTGGATAGTCAAATTTCATGAGACTTTCTTCATTTTTGACGAAATCTTCTCCTGGCATATGCTCCGAGTGAACACTTCGTCAAAGGGAGAAAAAAATAACTGTCCTCTCTTCTTCAAGGAAACGAATTTTGTCAAAAGTGAAGAAATATTTCGTCATTCTAGTTTCTGTAGTTTAATTCTAGTTGAAAATCTCCCGCATTTCACTGCGATGATGTTTTGATTTGCGAAAACATTTTCCGTCATATCTTTGGGAGTTCGTGTTTCGTCACAAATCCTGTGATTTCGTGACGAAATAATTTTTAAAACGATCGAAATACAGCTAGCTCAAAGATTACTGAATCATCAAAAGTAAGAGTTTTACTTCTGAGAATGTGCAATTAAAAAAATAATTATAATAAGCCAAACTAATAAAGGAAATATTTCATTACTGAGACGAATCTAAGTATATATTTTCTAGTTTGAAATATCTCCAAAGTATATAAATAAGCAAAGTTCTTGGAGAAAAAAAATTACCAATACTTTTTGCTCTAACGAGATGTAATATTATTTTTAAAAGTAATGACGTACTTGGTCATATCCATTAAAACATGCAACGGCGAATCGAATTTGTTCTTTAAGGATTTCGAATCTATTATTAATTTATTGATAAGATACAGAGACTTAAATCTTTTCTATTTCAACTTAGCCTACATCTAAATCATCAAGAAAAAGTATATTTAGAACAACGGTAAATCAATCATCAGCGCTACATAGTGCGTGCATGTCTATCATTATTGCAAAATTGAGTCATCATCAGCGCTTTTCCGTAACGATGCCATATTTACCTCTCAAAGTTTAGTAACCTGATTTTGTATAGACCATCAAAATATTATTTTTAAGATTAAAACTTGGTTTTCCGTGGATATAGATATATAAACTGATAACATAAGAAACTGTTCAGTTTAAGTTCTAAGATTTGAAAAGCGGTTACACTGTTTATGATTTCTTACTTCTTTGCCATCATTTTTACATCAAAATAAAACATTTTTAGTACTACATTGTCGTAATCGCAATAGTTGTCTATTTACTATTTTATTTTTTAAAAAAAGCTGTTTCGCATTTCGTATAATAAACACGTAAGATTTCAATAAGAAATTAATTTGGTTTTTAACGATTCATTTGTTTAAGGAAAAATTATAAATGCTTAAAAAATGTTTTACACACATTGTATTTGGTGATTAATTTCCAAGCAACGTGATTAAATGGTTAAATTCAAGGTTGAAAAGAAAACTAGCCAAATTTTAAAGGTAATGTAATATGGAATACATTTTTTAAGTGGTTGAAAAAGTCATTTGAATAGAATATTATATAGTTGTGTCTAAAGAATGATGAGATTCACTAAAAAACAGCTAGCTCTTATGCTTACATTTTTATTGACAAATAGTTAAAGAGACAACTGGCTTTGAAATATTAAATTTCAGTATATATCGATTAAATACAGACTTTTATTCAACTAAATTGTTTATTTATCAGTATTCGTAAATTAACCAGCATATGACCACTATGTAGGGAAAAAAACAACTAATAAAACCCTCCATTGAAAAACACGTGAGATAATAGAATGTAATTGGTTGTTCTTACCAATTCAATACGTTTTTCCCCCATTTATTATCAATATATTTTCGATTAATAGATAAAAAAAGACATAGTGTATATCGTTCTTAAAGTTCCGCATCGAATAAATGGAAAATTATCGTAACGTATAAAAATTTAATCCATGGAAGATTTTAATGTTAATTTTACGTTTTTTTATTTTTCATTTTGAATTTTCTACTCATTAGTAATTAGGCGTCTATAGAAATTTAAAAAAATGTTTGCATTTCATTAAAAATGACGCCTTGAAAGGTATGACTAATGGTTGTGGTATTTGAAATGCTTCAAATAAGCTCTGTAAATAAAATACATTTGGAACTACAGTTACTTCTCTGTAATGAATTTAGTTATATTATTTTGATTCGAAAAAACGGATAAAAAATGCAACTACTGCAGTTTTTCATAAATTCATGTTCTTTTCATAATTTGTTCTCATTATTCTTATTAGAAAAATTATGTTTTTATAAAAAAGTTCTTTTTTATCTGACTTTCACTTTAAATAACATAAAGAGAGTCAGTAGAGCATATATCATAATGCTAAAACCGACCGTTTTGCGATGTACCTT